ACCATAAATTATGTTTGAATTGAATATATTATTTCTATAAATGAACCAAAAAATATGTTTGAATTAAACTTTAATGTCAATTTGTCAATTTGTTTGACTGTATAGCAAAGATATTAATTTTAAAAAATGTTGGCCCCTCGTTTATATGTACTATTTAGGGGCCAAAAATTGGTTTTTTATTTTTTAAAGTATGAAGTACCCTTTCAAACATCTTGCAAAAAATATATGTTACTTTTGAAATGACCATTATCTTATGTAAAAAAAATGGCGGTGGTGCAAAAAAAATTTCAATAAAAAAAAGTTTTTTTAAAAAAATTTAAAAAAAATTTTTTTTTACTGACTTTTTTTGTTTGAATTTGGTCGACAATTTTTTTTCATCAACTGTTTATATTGTATTGTACAAAAAAAATTGTTTCATGAAAATCGGTTCAGCCATTTTGGAGGGAAAAAAAATTTTTGAATTTTTTTGAATTTTTCAAAAAAATTGTATAACTCAGAACCAAAATTTTTTTTCGAGTTGAAACTTGGTGAAAATAAGTCTCATAATAGGTCAAAGTTATTCCCTAAATATGGACCTAATCCAAGAGGGGGCACTTTTTACATGCTTATACTGCTACGGCCTTTATAAAAATATTTTAATTACAAAATTTAATTATTTCAGATAATTAGCAAAACTATTATTATTAGCAAACTAAATTTTTTAATACTTAGGTGAATATTGAATGCAATATTGTCTGAACACTCTAAACATGGCAAGTCAATATTTGAGTTCGCTCAAAAGTTTGATATTTAATACTTCCACACATGCGGACATTTAAATAACTAGTCTTTCATGAGCTTTTCCACTCCATATTTCTAACTTCGCTGTGCGAGGTCCGGTCAAGTTTCAGAAAATTATCAGTGCTTTGTGGGAGGGCAATTCTCCCGCAAATGAACGGCTACAATTTTGGATCAAGTTTTTCTCGACTCAGGGGATGCTAAGGAATCATTTGATAGCAAGGAGTTTAAGACGCGACGCAAGAAAACTTTTTTGTTTTTCCAGCCTCCTGTGTGTATAACATAGCCCTCCATCAGTTTTATCGAATGAATGGTGACCAAGTGTTTCCGAAAGGGATTTTAGACTGGAATCGGAGTCCAAAATGTTCGTTCATCGTTAAAAATCAAATAAATAAATAATAACATTGTTAATGAGGATTCCAAAACTAAGAAAACTACATGGAACCTTTGCAAAGCTCTTTGTTGCATGAGATCCTTCACAGAAATCTGCAGAAGAACATTATCACTCGCAATATCTCTAAGAGATTCTTACCACACAAAAACTCATGTGTGGCACCCACGCTGAAATCTTTGTAGGAACTTATGAAGAATCTTGAAACAGGATCCCATGGGATCCTGAAACACATGTGCACATGTGTTTCTTTAAGGCCTTTCTCCAATAGGTTCCCAAAACTCTGCGATTGTCTGCGAATGACTGCGTTGCGTTGATTTTAGTATATGTTGCCATAACAACCGACGCAACGCAGTAGAGTTTTGGAAACCTATTTGAATTGACCGTTCCATTGCAACAACTCGTTCGATGCATCATTGCATCTCTCAAAGTCCGCATCCATCTGAGTGAGTTCATATTCAAACCCAGCTGCGCGAGGGACTTGCGCACCATAACAACGATCAATTATAATTGTCAAGTGTTGTACAGTCAGATCTCTTAACCCTCCGTCCGACATTTGTTATATTTCTATGATTCATCAAAAATTCTGGAGATAAACTTTTTCGACTGGTTGTTTTTTTGTAAATTGTAGATAGGTAAAGTTTAAGAAGCAACTTGTCAGCACAAGTTTCTAGTTAGTCTATAAATATATTTAAATATAGATGAAAAGTGTAGGGGGGTCTGCCTGGATCCAGGTGTCAGGCAGAGGGTTAACTGTAACATTGCCTGAAATTAACCCCTCTTCTAAACTTGATACTGTAGAGTACTCGCGCGCAAGACATGTTGTTACAGTGAGCAGGATACGCATCAAATATGAGCTAAAAGCTTTATTTTTAAAAATTGTAATTAAATTTTTCTGATCTTAAAGTAAGCTTGTGGCGAACTATCTACTCTAATATCAAAAATTTTATTTTAAAAAAGTAACATTCCATCTTTTTTAAAGTAGCGAACTAATAGAATTATATCGGGCCCCGCTAGAGAGCTATATCGTGGTTGGTCGAAGGGTTCATAGTTTCATCTCCATTCGCGGTCGAGCTGTAGCATTTGCCGAAAGTTCCGGTGTTATAAGTTATTAACAGTGTAGGATTTGCTACACCAAACATGTTCGCTATATATTTTTCCTGCAATCTATTTGTCAAAAAACATGTGTATGCTAATTTTTAACTATCTAGGTAAAAAACTGCAATGTACCCCTCCTGGTAGTACGCTCGCGACAGTCACTTTCAAAAATATAATAGAATGCTATGATATGAAACGATTAATATTGTTAAATCTTTTTGTTCTAAATTTTTCAAATATTCATTTATAATATATTGGTTTTTGAAAACAATCTATAGAAAATTTTAGAAGTTATTAGAAGAAATTTACCGTTTATATATGCACTCTTTATCGGTTAACCATGTTAAATAACAAATTTTCAACTTAAATATCTTGTTTTAGAAACAATCAATTTTTAAAAAATTTTGCAAATTCATAGATCTTGTTATTAACTATTCAGTTTTTTAATTTCATGGAATTTTATAGAAAATTGCAATCGCGAGCGTACTACCTTAAAGCTAAAGTATAAATCCAATGTAGCCAGGCGTTGAGTTAGTACTACGTGATTCAAATGAAAACTTAAGTGGGCATTACTTTGACTAACAATGGAGAGAGAAAACCTCTTTAATTTTTCAAATTCACGACTCAAGTATATGTGCCCATCATATCACATTCGCCATTCAAAGTTTTAAAAAACCAATGTAAAAATCGTAATCTGTGATCTTGAAAACTCCCAAGTAACCAGTTTTAAGCAAATCTGATTAACTTTGAAAAATTGTTCGACATATTGGATCCGCCATTTTGAATTTTTAAAAACTGATGTCAGATTACTATTGAGCGATTCAGAAAACCTTAGGACACAAAAATTTATAAAAATCCATTAAAAATTGTTTTCACAATTTTGATTCAAATATTGGAAATCTTGTCGTCAGGCAAGTGGGGCAAGTGGTTAATTACATGCACTGAGTGAAAACATCATCTTTTAATGTTTCGGCGTATAGACTTTCCGTATATCCAGAGATGTTAAATTTGAGTATCTTGATGTCGTCCTATAGTTGAATATCAGCATACTAATTTTAAGTGATCCTCTTCTCTGTGCGTTATATGAAAAATCAGTAAAACATGAAATAATAATTCTATTTCAAAAAATTTTGTTAAATAAAAATGTTAGGCCTTATTCAGAATTCGTTTAAATATTGTTTATGCTTTATAAACCTTGTAAGTGGGTTTAAACTGCTATTAACAAATTTAAAAAAATGTTAAATTAAATCACTTTACATGTAAATTGGAACATGTTGGTAATAACATTATTTTAGCCTCAGAGACAGAAATAATTTAAAAGCTTAAAGAATTGCATCAGTATGAAAGGTATTTTTTGTTTTTGTTGAAATTTTGAGACTGATCTGTTAAAAAATGAAAGCAAAATGATGGTACCACAAATGATGGTATAATTTATAAAATAAATTTAAAGAGAAACAAGTTGTACACTTCAGAGTGGTGCTTTTAAAAAATGAAAATTTTAAAGACTTAATTCTTTTCAACTTTTTCATACCTCTGACTTTCATTATTAATAGTTTGTTTGCAATGCAATGATTATCTTTGAATTTTTAATGAAATAAAATATTAAATTTTTAATATTATAAGAAAGACATTTGTATTAGGAAATAGTAAAGCCCAATGATCTGACATAAATTTATTGTAATTGTTATAATTCTTCGTGAAATAATTAAAATTAGTTAAATAATGAGCAGTATAATTTTTTTTTAATATTATATGTATAGCTACAATATATAATTTTACTTTGCTTTACTAGAACTTAAAATATGTAAATAAGTTTATTTAAGTCGTTTTTATACATATCTGATTAATAAATGTGAAAATGACAAAACACAGATTTTTATACAAATTAAATAATGAAAATTGTTTTCAAACACTTTTTATAAATTGTTTTCAATATGACTAACAATTGTAACTAGTTAAAGATATTTTTACTTGACCATGAGTCAAATAAAAAGTGTCTTTTAACACATTTAAACTGTGCAGAGGAAAGTATAATTGAAAAACTTTTACGGTTTAACATCAAAAAGTTTTAAACATTATTATAAATATGTATTTTTCATAGTAGGTAAAACGTAATAGATTTGAAAGGAAAAAAAATGTTCGCACTGTCTTGTCCCTTTAAGCAAAATTTTAGTGTTAATTAATAATTTATTTATCTTTAGACTCTTGTATGAAATTTCTAGCTAAATATAAAATTTGTCTTGTTCAATGAATAAATTTAATTTAAGACTTTTTTCCACATCGTGTACGTTGAATTGTAATAAAAATAATGATAATAATAATAAGAAGAGAGAATCCCAAATAATGTAATTAGTTAATTATGAAAAGAGAATATTCGATTTTATTGAAACTTAATATTATTATAAGGTTTATTTATTTTATGGGCTGACAAAAATGAGGTAAAGTTAAAAAGTTAGAAAAAAAGAATGTAAAACATTCGACATTTTTCAAGGTATGTGTACGTATGTTGTTGAAACGGATAAATAATTAATTAATGAATTAATTAATTGATAAATGAAATGAAATTTCCAAGTTGACTTAATTTAAAAATGAAGAATTCTAAGCTAACGTGAATTGAATACAGACTTTATCATTTAAAACATACGACTTTTCAATGAAGGATCATCTTAAAAGTAAGTTTTTGATAATATTAACCGATAATAAAAATATGTACAGATTAAAAAAGTGCTGTATGTACCTCTTAAAGGTTTTTATAATATCCCAGAAAAAGATTTTTATACACTTTGTTGCACAGTACTTATACAAATTAAATTAAGAAACACTACATATTTTACTAATATAAGTTTAGGAAAAATCATCAAATAGACAATCGTACCAAAACATTCATACTCAGAGGTAAGATCCTTATTAATTGATTGAACAGAAATTGAACGGTAATGCGAGAATCCTAGATTGATAAGCCACGCATAAAAAAGCATTGAACTTGAAAAAGAGAATAATTATTGTGAAATTATACAAGTAAAAATATCATAATGAATATCATAGAAACTAATGACGGTAGTGAACAAGATTGAATGTAGCAATAATTTTCTTTGGTTAGACTCTCTAATCGATTCCTGACATGGAATTACCATGAAAAAGGTGGACAAACATTCGCTATAATAGGCGTTGCTAGGCTTAGTATTTTCTGCGCAGAGAATCTGTCATTCTCAAATTTGAATCGGATATACACTAAAAAAGGAGTGTAAACCTGAAATCCATTATCGCGCGCTAATCACGTACGTGCACATACTTAGTTGCGAAAGTAAGAGAATTTATTCTAACGAGTTTTTTCGCGCGCATAGTGTTTATGTGTATATATGTGTTTATTTGTTTTTATGTGTACACGCGCACGCAGAGATAAATACACATGTTTAAGAAATGGTCGATGGCAAATCTTTTCTTTTTAATAATTAACCACTCAGGTTACTTATCATTAACGCTGATTAATACAAGACGTACGGTGCACTGATATCTCGCGTACGACATTACTTTACATTCTGATACGAGTTTTCACTTGTCTTACAGTCATTTTATTGTTGCTTAATATATCAACATCACTCCAAAACGCGAGAATAAACAGCAAGAAAGTTGTATTCACTTTGATGTCATCATCGTAACGAATTCTGAAAAAGAAGAAAACTTTATTAGACTTTCAAAATCAAATCTTGGGGATTTCAAAATTGGTACTAATTGGTTTGGTACAAAGTACTTTTTCATCCGCTCTTGTGACGTAAGCGGATGGAAAAGTATTTCTGGCCAATAAGCGCGACCTCCCGTGAATGTGGAAAGTAGGCAATTCCTGAACACGATGATTTTTGTTCACTTGTTCCTTAAACAAGACGCTAAGGCAATATGTAAAAATAATTACCGAAAATTGTTCCGACAGGTGAAATGTGAAGTTATTATAAGTGATTATGGGAGGTAGCTGCGTGTTTGAATAAATGAGGTGCTGCAGCTTTTCACATCATATTTCTAATTTACAGTTATATATATGCGCAATAAGGTTATTCAAGTTGGGCGGGGGAAATTCAGGATGGACGCTAACTAGTGCTCAATCATTGTATACAAAGTGTATGGGACAGAGTTTAATTTTTTAAATATTTCGCTTAAATGAAATTTTCAACCATAAGGTTATTAGGAATTATCAGGATTCCTACAGAAATCCGAATTTAAAATTCCATACCTTTTCCATGATTTCCAGGTCAAATTTTTACTGGAATTTTAAATCTAATTTCACTATTTTTGGGCTCTTTAAAAACACTTTACTTATTTAATAGTTTCCACCCTTTGGTAAAAACTCTAAAATTATCAAAATTTATCAAAAATTCGAAAAACAGATTTTTTTAAAATTCAAAATTTTTTCCTCTCTTTTATGGGATTTCACAGGTTTCCTCAGAGGTGGACTTCCAGATTCCAAATTTTCAAACCGATAAATCGTACCTGATCCTCTTTTCGAATTATCTCTTTTACAGATAGTTGGAAACTTTAAAAATGTATTATCTTAATAATTAACGGTGTACAGTTGCACTGTATACAATTAAAATGTGTAGAGTTGATACCGCGCCAATGTGAAAGCTTTGATTTAGAAGACAGCTGATTTTTCGTTATTAAACATTTTTTAGACAAAGATTTTATTTTGTTCAGGATTTTGAGAAAAGTGGGGGTAGGGAAGAGTTTAACCTGACAAGCTTTTTTCTTTTTGGTCACTCTTATTTTATTCAGTCTTGATTTAAGTAGTTTTCTTAACTTCCCTTATTTCTCTTTTCTTTTGCTTCATTTGTGTATCCCGTCCTGTCCCACTCTCCCCAACCCCATCTTGCCCGCACATACGAAATTGAATGGAACGATTAATTACTACAATTTACAATTTAATAAAGAAAAAACATATGCTTCCCTTCTTCTGTACCTCTTGCCAGTTAGAAAAAAATTTATACACTTCATTAACTGTTATTATTAAATAATAAACACCTCCTAAAAAAAGTGAAAAAATGACAAGAAAATCGTCGAAAACAGTTTTTTTTAGTAAAACAGATAAAAGATTTGTTCTCATGGCTTTTAGGTTTTGTAAACAAGAAACTATCGTCTCGGTGCAGTATTATGTAAAATGTAATCGCGATTGGTTAATTCTTTTGTTAAATAGAGCCGGTACCCCGTCTTTCCCCACTCACCCCTATAAGTCCCAAAAATCACTTTTTAGGAGTTTTTGAAAATTTCTATCGGGTAAATCCGACGTGCTACAGACTTGATATAGGAATCAAATTGAAGCTTGAGCCCTTTACTTTACGAAGATATTGCGATATTGCCAACGAACTAAATTAGCTATCAAAAGTGATTTTTTTAAAAGTTGGCAAGCATAAAAATAGACTCACACTTTCCGTTAATACAACTGTTTTAAAAAATGATTGGATTGGTTTAGAATTTGTTACTCAGGGGTTTCGGGGTCGCTCATTACGAATATGATGTCAAAATAAAAAAATCTGTGGACAGATTCCTAATCAGAGACCCCGAAACCCCTCGAGTAACGAGTTTCAGGCAAATTGAATCGATTGTTAAAAGTTGATCGCCACATTGGATCCAACATTTTGAATTTTGAAAATCTGACGTCACATTCGTAATCAGCGATCCCGAAAACCCCCGAGTAAAAAATTCTTAGCGAATTTAATCATTTTTTAAAATAGTTGTATTTAGGTCAATTTGTATGCAGGACAACTGTTGAAAAATCAATTTTGACAGTTAATTTAGTTTGTTGTTGGCAATATCGCTATATCTTCGTAAAGTAGAGGGTTCAAGCTTTAATTTTACTCATATGACAAGTCTCTAGCACGTCGGATTTACCCAGTAGAAATTTTCAAAAACTAATAAGAAATGATTTTTGGGTATTTTACCCCCAATTTTCTCAAAATCCTGACGTGATGGGAGGTTTTTGTTAAATGTTAATTCGGATTTAGCGCAGCAAAAGCTACGGTAAATGACTTCTCGATCTCAGACAACGGAAATTTTTATTTTTTTGCAGGCTTCTGAAATTATATATATAGGGGAGAGTGGTCCTAAGTTGGCCGCCTAAGCAAATTGGTCGAAAATAGTAACAAAATGAAATTTAATCACTTCGGCAAGTATATATTAGTGTTCAGAGATCGTTTTGCTATAATTTTGTGGTATTTAGAATGGCTTTTGTAGTCTTAATACAATAAATAGTGAAAAGCTGCATTTTGGACATTTCAGAAATAGCGGTCCTAAGTTGGCCACCACTTTTTTTCGCTTGAGTATAAGGAAGAAATGCATATTCTTTTCAATTACGCAGAAATTTGACAAATTTGATACATTTAGGAGAATAAAAACGCATTATTTAACTATTTTTGTTTAGAAAATGAAGCAATATTTTATTTCATTTATTTACAGTGGTGGATGGCTGTAGAGACAGGCGTTTTTGTACTTCATTTTTTCTAATGTTTTTTAAACCATTTTTTTTTGTTTTTTGTCTTTGTTTAATTCCTACGTTACACTTTTACGGTCTTTCTCGTGATAAAAAACACAAAAAAGAAATAAAACATAAATAAAAACAAACAAAAACAATAGGTGGCCAACTTAGGACCACTGTAGATTTTTACAAGTTTCAAATTATTACGCTAATAAAAAAAATTTATTTAAAAAATCAACAGAACCTCTTATTACAACATTAAATAAAGGAATTAGCGCACACACTCATTTAGAAATTTTTAATTATTCACAGTAAAAAGTAAATCTTAATTTAAGAGCTGCCTTAAATTCAACACTATCTGCTATAATGTTAAAGGATACGAAAAACGTGCGTAAATTCAACATTGACTGTCTTAAAAATGTTGCATCTTAAGTTAAGGCAGCTTTCGTGCCTTAAAATAAGATTTTCTTTTTACTGTGTTTATCTCTTGTAGCTGCTCTCGAAAAAACAAGAAAAATTAAATTTTTTTGGTCGTAAACAATATTATTGTCTTGACAATGCCTAGAAGAATCTTAGATTATAATTAGGTCCATAAATTATATCATGGTTTATCAATATATCATACCACAAAATTATAGATTCGTCCAGTATACCATCTCTGAGAAATGCAGGGTGGCCAACTTAGGCCCACGGCCAACTTAGGACCACTCTCCCCTATATATATATATTCATATATAGCACTTTAACATGTGACAGACGTGTCCAAATTCAAAAAATCAAAAAGTTTCTTGAAGAAGAGACAATTCGGAACCATAATTATCTATAAAATCTTTGTCTAAAAAATTTTTAGTAACGAAAAATCAGCAGTCTTCTGAATTAAAGCTTGGACATTAAGATAATAAATTTTTCAAGTTTCCGACTATCTGTATAAGAGATAATTCGAAAAGAGGATCAGGTACGATTTATCGGTTTAAAAATTTGGAATCTGGAAGTCATTTGAAACAACTCCCCACCAAGTTTGTAGCGTTACATTTTAGAATAACCTGCCCACCTCTGAGGTGGGGTTTTCGTCTCTTTTACGGGATTTAGCTTCATTATTTTTGGGCTCTTGGAAAATACTTTACTTATTAAATTGTCACGACTCTTTGGTAAAAAATCTAAAATTATCGAAAATTATCAAAAATTCAAAAAACCGAATTTCTTAAAATTCAACATTTTTTCCTCTTTTAGGAGATTCAGCTTCATTATTTTTAGGCTCTTGGAAAATACTTTACTTATTTAATAGTCTCCACCCTTTGGTAAAAAATCAAAAATTATTAAAAATGATCAAAAATTCGAAAAATTGAATTTCTTAAAATTCAAAATTTTTTCCTCTCTTTTAGGGGATTTAGCTTCATTATTATTTGAATTTATATTCAAGAGTAAAAATGGAAAACAGAAAAAATTTAGACTTTTAAAAATTCCAGGCCTTTTCCATGATTTCTCTGATTTCCAGAAGCCTTTTAAAAATTCCATACCATTTCCATGATTTCCAGATTCTGTAGGAACCCTGTGAATTTATGTTCCATTTTCTAAGAACTATGTCTTGCAATAATAAAAGCAATGAAAAAAGTAAAATTGATTTTTATTATTGCAAGAAATAATTCTTGGAAAATAGAACATAAATTCCTAATAACCTTATGGTTGAAAATTTCATTTAAGCGAGATATTTAAAAAATTAAACTCTGTCCCATACACTTTGTATTTCAGCACACCCAACTTGAATAACCCGTGACTGATACGCATGCGTATAAGTATTCTTCAACTAATTTGCATGCGCAATAAAATGTGTTCATCAAACACGTTTTCGAATGTGCAGAATACTAAAATCCGTTTACCGATCATTTAGGGTTGCCACTAACACCGATTTTAAAATTCCATAACTTTCCCAGGTTTTTCAGACCACTTTTGAAAAAAATCCAGACCCAAAAATAAAATTATTTTGATAAATGTTTATCTACTTAAGACAAAAAATATAAAATCCTTCAAGTAAATTATTAGTAAAATAAGTTATTAATTTTTAATCTTATAAATATTAATTAATTATTTTAGTTGTAATAAAGATTTTAACATTAGTTGCTTATATTGAGAATTAATCTGCTTTGTGTAATTTCACTACAAAAATGACAAACCTGTCAAAACGATGACTTTGATATACTGACCTGATGCCTTGTTTATTGTAAAGTTGAACAAAAAACATTATTTGAAATTCGAACGGAATTAACAATCATAACCTTGTGCGATTGCGTACAAGTAAAGTTTGAAGCACACAAGAGAAAATTGTACAGTACCAAAAAATGTATGATTGAATCAAGGTTTCTTTAATTCTTATATATTTAAAGATAGCGATTTCCAACACCTCAATTTCATCTATTGCATTTTATAAGAAACTGGGTATATAAAGTGTTTGAATCCGATTATGGCTTCCAAAATGGAAAAAATAGCAAAAAAGGTGCTTTGTACATCAAATAGTTATTTATGATCAAGTTGATGAATAAACGAGTATCATACTTATACATTTCTTGCAACACTCACTTTCCCCAAGCACCTAAATTTGCAACAGAATTGGTAACAGTGTCTTAATATTCTAATACAGCACTCCCTTGATATAAACTGGATAGTGGTACTAAAGGGTTTGATACAAGCAGGCCTTTGTAATCTTGTCTCCCACATTCGCTTTCAGTGGGGAGAATTTCAGTGAAGACTACGTTACGCACATATTTCTGTATAACTACCAAAATACCAGAAAGAAAGAGATTTTGTGCCTTTCGTTTCTTTAAAATTTGATAAAAATTGAAAAAATGGAAAATATATAGCTTTTTAATTCTATTTAAATTAATTGAATAATTTAAATACGTAATATATATATTGCTACCGCATTCACTGCTACAGCACTGCATGGTGATGCGCGCGCTACTTTCATCCATCTTGTATCAGATCCAGCTTACACTAAAGCAGCTTGTATCAGAGGAGTATTGAATTTAAGTAACAATAATCTTCTTTCGCGGCTTCTCCTTCAGCAGTAAAATATAAGAATATAACCCGAGAGATTAGTGTTCTAAAGAGTATTTGTTGACTTCCAAACTGTGTACTTTAGAACTTTTGATTTAAGATGGCGGATCTTTGTTATTATTTATTATTATCCATTTTAGACGCCATATTAAATATCTTGACAGCATCCAAGGCTTCTTTTAGCCTCAGAACCAAAGACTAGATTTCAAAATTTTCTAAAACCGAGAGATATTTGAAATTCTAATAATTTAGGGTTACAATTATTACCTTCACTAAGATCGGCGGTCTGGTAATAATTTAGTAACTTTTTCCTAGTTTTGCCTTCCATTTTATTTTTTTCTCTTTCGATCGTATTAATTAAAGAAATATGAAGAAGGAGAATGGAGGTCAAAGTAGACAGTAACAGACATTTCAGTTATTGATTGGAAATCGTTATAGTGAATTAAAGAAACAGTCATTAAATGTAATATTATCACAAAATTATACCTTCATAATTAACTTGTCCGTCTCCATCAATATCTGCTTCTCGAATCATCTCGTCAACTTCCTCATCAGTAAGCTTCTCCCCAAGATTTGTCATAACGTGTCTCAATTCCGCAGCTGATATAAATCCATTACCGTCCTTATCAAAAACTCTAAAAGCCTCTCTGATCTCTTCTTCACTATCTGTGTCCTTCATTTTTCGCGCCATCATCGTCAAAAACTCTGGGAAATCTATAGTACCATTACCTAAAAGAAAATATTATTAGATAATGTGAATATTTTTGTACTTGTAAGAATTGTATTTGAAAATTAAGCATCGACTTTTATAAAGTTTGACATTGCAACTTGACCGATTTCGACTCGTGTACCTTTCTGCAGTTTTTATAAACATGCGGCTGCACCCAAAAATTCTAATTTTTTAAAGCATGACGAGCACGAATGTAATTTTGTTGAATCTAAGGTTCTATTCATGTCTTTTACTTCGGACGCTCTGTTGAAAATTTTTGAAACCGTTGAGAGTGAGTTGTTTTATCTAATTTTGTCCAGCTTCCACCAATCAGCTTAGCTTTTTAACGCTGTGTCGAAACATGGTACTACTGAGATGAGGTCAAATGATTAAGCCACGCCACTTGCTTGGATTCGTATGGAATCCATACATCGAAAGTGAACAGCCCCCGGTTGAATACGAAGAAAAGTCTTAAGGCCTAAGTACAGCAGAGTAGGCTACTTAAGGCGAATAAGTGATATGTAAGTTTCCGTACCTCTCTTACCATACTCTGGTGCACTTTGGTCAAATTTGTACAAACCCCGTAAAAAAATAAATGTAGATTAGATGGGTTGGAGTGTTAATTTTGAACCTTGACAAAATGACCAAAGAATCTAAAGTTTCAAGAATTCAATGTAACTTCAAGAAAGAGATCCGCGGCGAATATCGTCAAGGCTGTCGAAAGCACAGATAATGTGTTGCACGACTTAGATTGCTTTATTCAAGAAGCAAATCCATGGGGGATAAAGTTCAAGATAATTCTCAATCAAATAGTTTGCGCCATCTGTAGCTCTTTCTAAAAACACATCTCGCTTTGTACAGCTGAATGTGGCCAGCTACTGCTGATCTTCAGAACTAGGCATTTTTTAAATTCATCATGATGAGCCTCCAATATGATCTTAACGGGAAGTTAAAGTCGATGGAAATTTTCCATTGAAGCTTCTAAGGAACAGCTGACTTAACTTTAACACCCCTTTAAGAGCTGACTTAGCGTTTGCAAGCGTATGGGCCGTGTTGGATACCATAGCAACCAACGTAGTGCTCAATTTAACATAACACATGCTCTAAGGCCTTTCTCCAATATGACCCCAAGAGTCTGTTTTGCAATGATTTTAGCATATCAAATATGCTCTTAGGATCGTATTGGAGAAAGCCTTTAGGATCCTATTGAAAAGTTACTGTATCTAGCTGAAAGGCAAGTGTTTTTTTAAAATGATTTCAGAATATTTCTCAGAAAGCACCTTAACTCTCGGCTTACTCATGTGACCGTTATCTAAAACTTTTATTTGGACGCCTGGTAGGGACTATGAAAATTACATTCAAGGACGCTAAAGCTTTTAGTGGCGCGAAGATTAAAAATGTCTGTTGTTGTAGATTATATTTTTATAAGCATTACTTAAATATTTTACGTCGGTTTTGTCATTAACTGAATTTGAATTTTTAATAATATGATACATTTCAATAAAGCTACGTTTTACAAAATTGAACCCCTTGATGCAAGAACCAGACATAGACCATTGAAATTAAATGGGCTGCGTCTGGTTCTTGCATCAAGGGGTTCAATTGTTTTCAGTTGATAGAATTCTGACATTTTTTAAATCAAAGAGATAATCTTTCTTGTGTGAGTGTTGTGATAGCGCAGATGACGTGTTGTCCGTTTTGCACACGGAAAAAATTAATTTAGTACATTTTACGAAACTAATATTGGAATAGCGGATACGGAGAGGAGTTTAGTATAAGATAAAACAGAATCAATAGTAATATATGATGACTGCGTTTCTCGAAAACTCAAAAAAAATTCTATGGAATTCACAAATGATCGGTTGGACGTTCTAATTTAAGAGTTTTGTAAAATGTTTAGCCTGAAGCGCATGCGCCACGGAAAAAAATATTCACGGAGAAAAAAACGAATAAAGCAGAAAAAAGAATTTCTTAATGTACCAATGAGCTCTCAAGACCATTTTTTCTCGACTTCCATAGGAGATAGATGATTGGTTCGACACATGTGACTGCACTCTACAACGCAATGGTTCGCTTGGATTGGCTTATTTTATTCTGACACTAACTTAACGGAAATACGCATACATATAAACGAATTCTGACGCAACGCACATACAATATAACTCGCACTTGTAGATGAAAGAATTGAGTTTCTTTATATACTAACTGAGGAGATTAAAACTGCGCTTGTGAGAAATGTCAATATACTGAATATTAATTTTTAAAAAAATCATTTTTTTAAAAGTTATACAAAATATTTTATGGTTTTTAAAATAACATTTTTTGATTATAATTAGTTATAAAATCTCTATAAAATTTTTCAATTTTTAGAAAATAATTTTATTCTTAATTTTAAATTATAAATAAATTGACAAAAAATTTTCAAAATTAAATTCAAACTCAAAAAATGTTTATATTAAATTGTCTAAAATTTGAAGTAATAACAGTTAAAACTTGAGAAATTAATATATATATTGTCATCGGTAAATATTATGATAAACTATAAAATTTATTGGACTGTAAATTAAAAGAAATTAATAATAATTAAAAGTTTGGATTACAAAAGCACATAAAAAATGTTACGAATTTGGAACAATGAAATGTGAAATACGTAAAAGAAAACAATTATCCAAATGTTACCGGCAGGTAAAGCAGTTCTCTTTTTCCTTCCACATATTATATCTATATACAGCAGACAAGTTAATACCGACGCGACGAGACAAGCTTCAACATATCTATTTATAACGCGACTTTTGGTACACCCCGTATAGAATTTTACGAAACTTTGTGTTCGAGAATTCACGATAGACAGCGAAGTGGAAACTCAAACCACGCGTTTTTAGATTGCACGAAACATTTTTACCATTTTCTGATAAAATGTTCACCAGAAAATACGAAACATTTCTACATTCAAGCTTGTTTTATAAATTACAACACTGGTTGCAGTTTCTCGACAATTGTTCTGCTTAAAGTAGTGAAAGTTTCTGGGTTTTTGAAAAACTTCGTCTAGGAATCTTAAATATCCGCTAGTGCGAAATTAGTTTCGTAAAATCTGCTGAACTTATTTTTTCCGTGCATGATCTAATATATTCGTCGACTCTATTTTTTAATTTTTGTTTTGTTTGGTCGATGTAGATGTCACTACATCCCTCATAAGTAATCTCATCCACTACATTCGTTTTGTTATATAGAGAAATAAGATCTTTAGAATTTCGGAAAATACCAGTTAATTTTGCAAGGTTTAGAAACCACGTCAAAATTATACTTTATGAGAATACGTTTTAGTTGGTTATAGTGATCATTAATGTATGAAATTACAACCAAATTGTTCCAACTTTCAAAGATGTTCTCTTCCTTAATTATTCAACTCCCAAAGGTGTCAGTTCGAAAGATAGTTGTGGGCGCGGCATATAGTGGTGTCAGGAGAAAGAGATGAGTGGGGACTGAGTGATGAAATTAAAAACAGGAGCGTGTCAGTGTTTCGAGCACCACCGTGATCCTTTTACACATTCACATAAAAATACTACATACCACAAATTTGTAAAAAAAATTTGGGTAAACGTTTTGACCATAGGCAAATAGACGAATCTAATTCTTAAGCCTGATTACTAGGCATTAAACTTACTATCGAGTGTTAATCGAAAGTAAAGCCAAAAGTAGTTATTTTCCTTTAAAGTTTGTCGCATGGCGGCTGCTAAACATTGATGCTATTATTAAAATACATTCGACACAATAAAATGAAACATTCATTACAACTATTACTTAGTAAATCTTTTATCTTTTCTGAGTACGAGGCCTAATTTCCTTATTGTCTGATTTCAGAGAAATTATAATTCATATTTTTTATTAATTTATGTTAACTACTTCTAACTTTAATTGCGATTGTTCTAATTTAATTTTCCTTAAGACGTTTATTCACTGAAGGTGCATGCTGCATATGATTAGTATAAATGCAGAGCTTGCGTTGAGCATTGACTTTAACGCCCAGCAGTTAACTTAATGCCTAGGCAAAGGGGAAAAGGGCACGATATCGTCGCGCATTTGTCTAAATGCCGATGGTAAGGTTAATACCTAGGGATTAGGCTGACTGCCGGATTCGTCTATTTGCATTCTACCACCTGCAAACGACGATCGTAAGCAAAGCATTTTTCAAGTAAACTAAATTGTACCTACAAAAATATAGAATTTAATACCCTTTAAAATCTTTTAAAAATTTTCTTAATTTCATGAAAGCAGTTTTAAGCTAATCCTTGCAGTTTATTAAGATCTTTCTTCAATAGAATCTAAGAGCATATTGCAGAAAGGCCTTTATAAGCATTTTAGTAAATTGAAAGATTTAAATTATCTAATGTTAGGCTGCTTACACCGTAAGAATTAAAGTAAGAAAAGCAGTAAAGATTGGGGATTTAAAATCGCTATGAGATTCATGACTAGTGGTCATGAAGTGAATTAAAAAAATGTCCGCCGTGAGTGTATATTGTCAGATTGTCATTACGGTTACTACAATTAAAAGTTTTTATAATCATTAAACAAATATAGTTCGCGTTTAATAAAAATCATGGAATTCGATTCACAGCATCGAAAGGGTAAAAATAATAGTGAAATTTGTTGTGTTTTTTTTTAATGCGTACACCCATTTCGGACATATTTGTTTTGAAACACTAGCGCCACTATGTCCGCGGTGGTAATTTTCTTTGCCAATACCTAAATGGTGACTTAGCTAAATTCGCTTAATCGCTTCTGTGGAGAATAAGTGCAAATAGGTAAGAATTTCATGTTTTATTTTTTCACGAAACTATTTACAATCGTTCTGCGCAGACAAGAATTTAGGTAAGTCGCCGCTAAGGTATTCTTACTATATGCCAATAAGACAATACAGGAGAATAAACTTCTATAAGCGAAACAGGGATGGCGTGGAATGAGTTGCGCCAGAGATGAATTTGGGTTTCGCGCATACTAATGATGCCGCAGACGCTGTGCGCAGAGCTCAAATTCACATCTGGCGCAGCTCATTCTACGCCATACCATCTCTACATGTCTTAATGGAAAATTCGACATGACGAAATTAAATTCATTCACTTTTTAGTAGAATTTCACTAATTGTTAGTCATCTTATTCACTAAATGAATTAGTCAAACTGTTTTATAAACTTTTAATAAAACAGACTCACTAACTGAGCATTGCTATGCAATAAGTCTTTCGACGTTCAATGCTATATAACACATATAAATATTTTTTTATGTTTATGTATTCAAATTTAATTGGATTTTCAGATTGCGATCTTTTTTTTGAACGTGGAATGGTTTGAAATACAATGTTTCACACAATAAATGCATAATTTACATTAATTTAAAAAATTTTTAATCTCTGTATACCTAAACTGGAAAAAATCTGCAATCGAAACAGCGTCAAGTTTCAGCAGAATGGAAATTGAAACGAGTAAAATGTTGGATATTTTAGTGACTTTTTGCTGTTTTAGTTGATGCTTTTTTCTCCTGTAACATTTGTATTTTTAACCTCATATTTTCAATTCAAACTATTCACTATTATTACAAACCAAAAAAATTAAATCACCAGAAACCTTTAGTATGCTTTTCAAATTATTATTCAGTGTTTTATTAGAGTCTATTTTAGCAATATTTTTTTAAAATATCAATATTAACATTAAAAATATTAAAACTGTTAGAAAACGGTTTTAACAAAAAAAAATATTAAATATTAATTAAATATTGATTTGTAAGGTAATTTTAAACACATTTAATTATAAAAGGAATTATAGTTTGTTTCTTTAATCTAGATGACATGGAAAATTCTTATCAAGTGTTGCATACAGAGTTCTACTATTTTCCTTTTTTCACCTCCAAAATTAATTAAAGATACACAAAAAATCACTAAAATGTTATTTACTTTTAAAAAATAAGTTTTCCAAGAATAATTCATTAGTTTTACATTTATGTAGAAAATGATAGTATTTCGGTATTATACACTCAAAAAGCACTTATTAAAAGTGAGTAAACAAAATGAATGTAATATCGCAATTAAATATTCTACACTTAATTTTAATGTCTTTAATTGTCTCTTATGTAATTTTGAGATATTTCCTGATTTTTTCAAATATTAAAATTCACTTCCTTTTACCAAGTTTCAGAATTTTTTTTTCTTCGCCCTTGACATATAACATTTTCAAAAATATCTTAAGTTCTATAAAGTTATTAACACTTTAAAAAATGGAAATACGCTTCAAGAATGCAATGAATAACTTATTTTTGGATTTCATTTTGAAATCATTAAATAATCATGGAAAATTATTTCTATCAATGCACTCTGTAAAAAATCATTATCTAGACACTTTGAGATCATGAAAACAAAAAAAAGTTAACATTTTTATAATTACTCACCTGGAGTTTTTATTAGAAACAAGTTGGATCAATACTTATAAATCATCTGAGCAAGTATAAAAACAATACATGAAGCCTGTGATTTATTTAAAATAGTCCTAGAGTTTCACTTTTTTATTAAACAAAACATGATTTTCAAATAATTGTATTCACCTGGAGGCAAAGCTGTAAACTAATTGCTGCGATACCTTTTAACTTATAAAGATAAAAGAAAGAGGTGCTCTCTTTAAGTTTCATCATTTTTTTAAAGCTTTCTTGCTTTTGATATCTCTTTTTTGAGATGTGTATGTAAATGTGAAACATCTTTTTTTACGTTTCAAACTTACTTACTAAACGTTTCAAAAATTCAGTAAGCTTTATCGAATTTTTAAGAGGGTGAAGTTATAAAGCGAAAAAATGGCTCTTTTTCATGGATCTTTTTTTAGAAAACTACTAGTTTTTTATAAAAAACTTTTTACGGGCACACGAAAAGAGTTTTATGTACATTATACTAGACCTACTTATAGAAATTTTGAACGCTAAAAACGAATATGTCGAATTGCTCTATTTTTCTGTATTTTTGATTAAAATATAGGGTTAATCTTAAGAATTCATACCGCTTCACACGCTTTAAAATTCAGCTACTTTTCTAAAAAAAGTTTTACGGTTTCTATTGATTTTATTGATATGGATCTTCTCTTGTTCAATGAAGATACTCTACATCGGTATAACAAACTTTGTTTTTTAAAAAAAAATTATTTATTTACTTGCACTAAATAATTGTCTTGAACCGCATTCCAAACCTGAATATAAATTATAAAATAACTTTTGGATTACACGTACCATCTGCATCTACTTCATTGATCATATCCTGTAATTCGGCTTCTGTAGGATTTTGTCCGAGAGAACGCATAACAGTGCCCAATTCTTTCGTTGTTATTGTGCCATCGCCGTCTTTATCGAAAAGGGAAAATGCTTCCTTGAACTCTGCGATTTGTTCCTCTGTAAGTTGATCAGCCTGCGAAAAACGTTTTATTTCATTTTTCCAAATTATACCATCCCCTCTTTATAATTCCAAAACAATTTTAATTTAAATTATAGGTATAAAAAGTTACCATTAAGATGTGCCAAAAAGAACTTTAATTCTATGAATGAAAAATTTACTTAGAAACTTGAAAAATAATAAAAATGTCTGTTTTTCTTAAAAGAAGCAAATGATTTTTCTAAGGTACTATCATTTAAAATGGCTACTCTTAAATTAATGTTATGGTTATTAACTGTAACAAGTTTGTTATTATTCTTTAGGGAGGAGTGAAAGAAATGTTTCTTAAAAAAAAGTAAAATGTACTATTTTTTTAAAAATATATGTTAGTAACAAACAATGATATGTAATTTGATTTATAATACCATGTATTAGAATAATTTGCAGTCTATATTCACTCATTGATAAGTTTCTTTCGGTAGTATTATTTGCGATAAGACTTGACGTTTGTGCCTTTTGAAAGCAAGTTCATAAATTATTATTTAAAACACCAAATCATATTAAAAAATTATTTCTTCAATGACAGTTTTCTACTATCAATATATCTAACAATAATACACGGAAAGATAATGAATATTCAATTTTTAAAAATATTTTACCATTTGTAGGAGAAAATGCGAAATTTTGATGTAAAAAATACTAAACTTTAAAAAAATTATATGAAATTTATTATTATTAGCTTTATATTTATATGTATATGTGACGCGCTCCAAAGAAAGGTACCTAAGAAGCAAACGAATTATAGGTTGAGTTCGAGTTAGATTTATCTTGATTAAAAGTTCATTTTTAATTATTTGAATTTGAAACCAATATTCATTAAATATTTTGAATATAATGAAGACTTGAAGACCAACAGTTTTTAATTAATAATTGATTCTCTTTCTGTATTTTTACTCAAAAAATTAAAAACATAACCTCAAATTTTTTGCTTCTTAGGTACCTTTCTTGGGGGCGCGTCACATATGTATTATTATTAGTTTACAAGCACCCACATAATTTTGAAAATTAAATTTTAAAGTTAAATATTTTTTAAGAAGCTGTAACTAGCACACACTTAATTTTTTAAAATTTGATGTTGGTATTAAACAAATAAAAATATTTTACTTTAAAATATAATTTCTAAAATTAAGTTGGTACAGATAATGGAGTGCCAGTTCTTTGGAAGTTTAATATTTTTATATGAAAAAATCGTTTTGTCGCATTGTAAAATAGAGCTCTCGTAAAATACTTTTACAAAATTTAAAATATTTATTTTCTTTTCGTGTATACTGCTATAAATTTTAAAGTAAAAACTTGAGCTTATCAATCCGATTAATTTTCCAGGTCAGACAGTTTTGCAATAATTACCATCTTCAGTCTTTCTTTAACACTTAATGAAGCTATTTTATTTATATACATTTTCTTTTTAAAGGAAAGATATTTGATAGTATTGGGGCTAAATATTATGCCAATCGTGAGTTTCGTCGATTTCTCACGAGTTGGCGTGTGTAAGTCAAGAACAGACAGTGAGGTTTATGGCAAGTGAGAATTATGTGAAATGAGCTTTATGGCAAGTGAGATTTATGCCAAGTAAGATTTATTTCAACCGAATTTATGGCGAAGAATTTAATGTCACGTGAATAAAAATATAATTTTTAAGTTATGTTTTATAGTAATGTGAAATTTGATAAATTGTTCTTTAGAATAATTAACAAGTTATAGTTTGCAATATAATCATTCTTAAATTATTTCTGAAACTAATAATTATGAAAAATAAATTTTTTTTCAAAGTTCTATATGAACGTATTAAACAGTGTGTTGTTACATGGGCCAAAACGACAAAAAACGTATGTTTTTTTAAAATAATTTTTAATAATTTATCATTTTTAATTTCAAGATATCTTGAACTGTTGCTACTGGCCTGATTTTTAATATTTTTCATCAAAAATTTTATATCTTACTTATTTAATAGTGTACTTTCAGATACCAAAGTCTTTAAATAAAAATTTATTTATTTTACGAAAAAAAATTTGACCCATGTAACCCCTTAAAAAATACTATCATATTCTCCACACATTTTTGAGTAAAAAACCGTTGAGAAAAAAATGGTCCGCTTTGAGAAATAGCAATATTAAATATTTATTCTAACCCTGCATAATAAATATTTAATATTGTTATTCTTCAAAGCGGGTCATTTTTTTCTCAATAAATTTTTACTCAAAAATGTGGGGAGAATACAAAAGTATTTTTTAATTTTGTATAGAACGTTAAGAAAAGTATTTTTATTCTAATTTTATAAATAAATAATTTTAAAAAATATAAAGTTTTTTTTCAAAATAAAAAATATTTTTAAATTCTAGGTTTTAAGACGAAAAAAAACGCTTTTTTATTTGATAAAATCGGTTAAAGTAGACTCAAAAAAAAAAGATTCATTTGGCGCAGTTAAAAATTTAAATTGTTTATAAGTTTAACAAAAAACTTTTTTTATTCTAAAAGTTTTATGACATTATTTTAATACAAAAGGGTTAGAAAAAGGAAGTTGAATTGAAAAAAAATTATTTTTAATTTTAGCTGATTCGTTTGGCACAGCCTGATCCTTATAGGTTATGGTGTTCAATTCCTGGAAACGTTAATGGAATTGAGCATTTCGTTTACAAAAAGTCGGAAATATTTAAAATTCAATTTTTAAAAAATTTCTTTTGTAAGAAATAAAACCAAATTAATATAAATTATTATTATATTAATCTTTATTATTTTTCGAGTGGTCACAATATTTCGGCGGTTCGTCTTAAACTAACTAGTTTAGTGAGAAAACGATTCCCGAATTAGGGAAACGATGAGTAATCCCATAGATGTACATATATATATATATTCTTCACACTTTTTTCTCATAACTTTTTTTTCTGGAACTATTTTTGGGGAAATACAAGTAAACCAATACGCCCCGAGGTCGGGGTAAAATGGTCAATAGTTACATAATTTAAAATCTCAATATTAAAATGAAAAGTATATTTAATTTTGTAATGTAATGTTTCATTATTGCCTATTGTTTTTAATTTGTAAAATTCTAAACTTATTGAAAGTTGCAGAATAATAAAAACTATATTTCCGCTTATTTTCGTAAAGGGTTTGTATTTTTCACTTTCTCATATTCAAATTGCAAAAATAAAAAATTTTTCTGAATAATTTTATTCAAACTTGAAAATTGCACAAAATGAGTCAATAAGTCTCAGAGGTGTTTATAGAATATAGTTTTCAAAAAATTTGTAAATATAATTAAAAAGTAAAAACGATTTCTTTAAGTAAATATTCAAAGTTCAAAACGTGATGTTTTCGTTATTAAAAGTAACTTTTAAAACGACATATAAAAAACTTGAATGACGACAGTAGATATTAATTTATTTTGAAATATGAAATTCTTCGTTATTTTCCACAATAATTAGTAAATAATGAAATTTGTTATACGTAAAGTTGCATTAAACAAAAAGTAAATTCATTAATTTGAGTGGTGAGCAAAATTATTTCAACTTATCACATTTGAATAAAGTGAAATGATTCATTACGCCCCTGAGACATTACCATTACGCCCCGGACTCCCCTACAAATGAATGAGATTCTTCGTTTTATAATAAATGAATCAGATTTGCCTTCTCGTTATCGTACAAAATTCCAGATTACAAACTAAAGTACTCCAACATTTTCCATTTTATATCGTTTCGTAACTGCCTTTACCTTCCATATGCCCCACTGTTGTCTGCCATTGATCTCACATTAGGTAAATCCGGAAACGGAGATTTCCCGAGATAAACAAATTTTAACTAAATTCAAATTTTTCATTTTTAAACCAAATCTCAAAATTGATAAAAAAAACGAAAATGTTACAAAATATTTTTTCGTATGCAAAGAAAATAATATTTTCGAAAATTGTAACAAAATGGCTTCTTTATTTTGAAAAAAAGTCTGAAATCATATTGTCGTCCCCTATAGCCAATAAGTGTCGTTAATTTTCAAACACATCTTCTAATTAAAAGAATCGATTTCAAGAAATCTAAAAATAGACTTAAATTAGCAAACTCTTTAAAAGTTCTGTAATTTATTAAATAAACTAAAAATCGTTAATCAACATTTCAAAAAATTCGTGTAATCTTAAGGTGCGCCGCACCTTTATAATTGTGGCCCGAGATAATAAATCTTAAATGCCACGATTACACATAATTTATCTAAAATCCATAAAATTTTAAACTTCTCAGAATGAAAAATAAAAAAAAAATTCTAAATTTAAGAGACGTATTTGTCAAGAATTAAATTTTTTCATTATATCGCTACGCTTTAGAATTCCCAATTCCAACGGTTTTCTAAATCAATAAAATGTAAATAAAGAAAATCAAACTTTTAATGGACAAAATAATGGTGAAAAATAGAATAAAATTTCAAATTTTTTTTTTTATAATCTGAAAATGACGATAAATTGCATTTGGATATGAAGGTTAAGTTTAAAGAATAAATTCTTAACGCTGCGATAAAATAAAGGTATTATCTATCAATCGAGGTTAGTAGAATGAGAACACAAGTAGACTCATCTGTCAAAGAATTAATGTTTTCATTATATCAAAGTTGTAACTTTTAAGCGACAAATAAACAAAAGTAGAATTTACTCCTTATCGAAAGAAAAATAAGTTGAAACAAAACAATAATCCATTCTCGCTTGGAAAATATTTTATTACATTCATAAAAGTATCATATTATCAATTTCAAATCAACATATATAGATATACTAATTAGTGTTTTAGAAATGCGCAAACAAACACTTGAAAGCAGATATAAATGGACAATTTTTATGAAAATGAGTCGTTCTAGCTAGGGCAGAAAACAATTGGACCGAGTGAAAATTGGGAAGACGGAAAAATGGTATTGAGTAATGAATTAATTGGATTGTTCGAGAAGGTGAAGATTTTGGGAGGGAAAAGAGAGTGATTCGGAGAGGCGAATAACGAAGCTTCAAGGAAATGGTGTGAGTTGATGGAGGATGATTGAAAATAGAGGAAATATTTGTGAAAACAAGTCGGAAAATGTGTGCAGGGCAGTTTGTGCGCTGCACGTGCACAATCTCGTCATTTAAAGATGAAAAAATCGATAGAGCTTTTCTCACTCACCATGGCGAAGGATTGATAAGGTCCTTATAAACGGAAGAAACACTAAACTGGAGAATTTAGCCACTTAGCAAGCACTGCACAGTCCACGAACGGGAAAATACTTTTCGGTGAGACAGAGCGCGCAAAATGAAGGGGCGGCCGACGAGATACACACTGTGATCAGCAATGGAGTCCCTGCTGGTGCTTGAGTTGACTTGTATCCCTCCGCGGAGAGTTCGGCATCTGCGCCGTGCGCGTCGCGTTCGCTGCTGCTGCGAGCGCGGCGCGTGCGCCGACGGCAGCCGCAACCTCACACAGGCGAGCGGCGTGTGTAGGGACGGGGCCGGTCGCCTGTGTGCGTGGCTACTGCGGTAGGCGACGGGGATGGGTCGCTGGCTGACTGCGGCCCGAGGGGGGGGGGAGCGGGCCTAGCACTTCTGCGGGTGCAACGCGTGCTCCTACGCCTCGACGAAATAAACACCAGCATTTTATTTTGGCGGAGGAAAACACTTTTTACCCCAGCATCATTTCATCTTATTCGGCCAATAAATGTCATTTTAGAATATTTGCGTCATTTATTCATCAGTCGATAATGACATAGCATGGGTGCGGTCTCGTTTTCAGAACAGATTCCGCCAAGTCAAAAGGATCTGCGATTGGTTCTCGCTCACCTGCAATGCGTCAGCCGAACGCGCGACTGCCGCCGGCTACCGGGTCACAACTTTCTTGTCATCGCCATTTCAATAAAGAATATTACATTTTACTAATAATACACTTACCTTTCGCAAATATATTTTTCACCCTCGCCTTTCTTTATTATAAACATTAACAATTACACACCCTCTTATTCATTAAAACAAATTCCTCTCCAAAATAAATACACATACATTTTTCCTATTACGTTTATTCACTTGAAAATTGTATTTATTCATGCTCTCCAACTTTTTCTTCGCTAACAACTTCATTTTTAATATATACTTGCAAAAAGTATTATAGAAAAAACTGTTTAGTAAATTGAAAGAGTAAAAATATTGCATTCAACATACTTTTAATGTAAAAAGATTAACGTCACAATTTACAAATTAACATACAAATCAATTTGTTTACAAATTTCAAGTTTTATAAATTGTAAAAATAAAAATTGTTTTTAACTCAATTTAAAAGGAAAATTTAATTTGATAGTATTTTAAAAAAAGAAGGAAATTTGATTAAAGATGAAAAAGTTTTTTGAAATTTATTAAATTTGGTCGATTTATTAACCATTGTATCGCATTATAATGAATAGTAAGGAAGCGAGCTCTGCCCGCCCGGAAATTTGTTTTTTATCCTGAGAAATGTGTTCCAATTACTACATACGCTACTGTTCATTGATGCCCTCAAAGTTTGCACTCGTCTTACGCATGCAGATATTTGCGTAAGATTCTTCCACTAACTGGGAAGACATCGGGAATATATTATATTTTATTTATTATATTTATACATCACCCCGAAAGGAAAGTGCGAATATAAATATTCAAGATACGAAAGTATCAGACTGTCATTTTAAAACCGAAAAGTTACGAAATCCTTGAATTAGTGTCAGGTCAGACTAAAAAGCAATATAAAAACGATTTTTTATTAACTGACCAAAAAATGTTTAGGAAACTTTTATATTGCACAAAAAGAAATCTTGTTACGAAATCTAATATTTTGGTATTTAAATTTAATATCCACATAGTTTATTGCAGGCTTCGCAAGCTCATCTACAAAAACCTACTATTTACTACTTTTTTTTACATTATGCTACTATTTGGGTACTTTTTTAGATTGAAGACACTAAAAGCTACTATTTCTGTTTTTTTTAGAATTTCCACTAAACTATTCTCGAAAAATTATAATCAAATTTGTTAAAACGATTCAATTATTTTCAAAAAATATTCGCAATTCAATTATTTTCAATATCTAGTATTTTCATGAAATTTCACAAAGAAATTCAATTATTAAAAAAAAAATTGATAAAATTCACCAAAAATTATATTATTTTCATAAATAGAATAAAATTTCCACAGAAATTCAATTAATTTAGAATAGCATTTTCAAAAAATTTTCGAAATAATCAGTTATTTAATAAAATTTTTATTATAATTCTTCTCAGTAATTCAATTACTTTCACAAAGAATAACATTTTTCATGGAAAACCAATTATTTAAAAATTTTTTGATAAAATTATAAGCAAGAATTCAATTATCTTCATAAATAATAAATCTCATGGAAGAATTTCAATTACTTTTTAATACTTTTCTACTATTTTTAATACTTTTTTTTTTTTTTTTTTTTTTTTTTTTTTTTTAATTTTTACAAATAATAAAGTTTTCCACAGAATTCAATTTTTTAAAATAAAATTTTCATAAAATTTAATATTTCGAAAAAATTAATTATTTAAAACAATGTTTTTATAAAATTCTTATAAAGAATTCAATTATTTTGAAAAATATCAAAATTACTCACAAAAATTCAATTCTTTTTGAACATTTTAATAAAATTTTTCTCAAGAATTCAATTATTTTTTTTTATTTCAATTCCTCGAAAAAAACAATTATTTAAAAGATGTTTTTTTAAAATTCTTTGAAAGAATTCAATTATTTACAAAAATATTAAAATTTTTCACAGGAATCCAATTATTTTTCAAATATTTTAATAAAATTGTTCGAAAGAAATCAATTTTTTTCAATTCAGTTTTAATTAAATTATTTTCTAAATAATTCAATTATTCGTTTAGTTTTTAATAAAATTCTTCCCAAGAATTCAATTATTTACATAAATAATTCTTCGAATGAATTCAATTATGTCGATAAATAACAAAATTATTTCCGAAAATTCAATTATTTTCAGTCATTTTAATAAAATTCTTTGTAAAATTCAATTGTTTTTATAAATAACAATATTCATCACAAGAATTAAATTATTTTTAAAAGTAATAAATTTCTTCTTGGAAATTCAATTATTTAAAAAAAATGTAATAAAGTACCACACCGACATTCAATTATTGTCAATAATTTTAATAGAAATCTTTGTAAAATTTAATTATTTTTAAAAACTTTTCGCAATTTAATGATTTTCAATATTTACTATTTTAATAACATTTTCCAATAAAGAATTCAATTATATTTAAAAAAAATTTTGTAAAAATCTTCGTAAGAATTCAATTATTTTTATGAATAATAAAAATTTCTCAGGAATTGAGTTATTTAAATTAGAATTTTCATAAAATTGGTCAAAAGAAATAAATTTTAAAAAATGTTTTAATTTTTTAAAAATTTGTTATAAAATTCTTGGCAAGAATTAAATTATTTAAAGTCTTTAATGAATAATAAAATTTGTTGCAGGAATTAAATTTATTAGCAGGATAAGAAAGAAGTAAATATTTTTGATGAAAATTTGGAAAAAATCAGGAAAATAAAAATATGGAATGGAATTTTTATAAGTTTTGTGAACTGTCTAAAACGTGTTTTTTCAGTCGTCAAGTTTAATTTTTCCATTGCAAGCTTTTTACTCCTTTTTTAGTTTGAAAGATACTTTTTTCTACTTTTTTAAAATTAATTATCGAGTTCGAAGTCTGTTATTATTGAATGTAAGACAGTTTGGATTGATTAACGATTTTTGTTACTCTTTTTTAAGAATATACCTAAATATTAAAAACTCCAAATGATAAATTTAAATACGCACTAACATCCCAATGGGAAATTTACAACTGGCGGAGTACTGCGCCAGCACTGGCAGTACTGGCATAACTCTGGGATGATAACGCTGTCTAACGCTGGCGAAGTACTGCCTGCCAGTGCTGCCAGACAGCGCTGCCGTAGCACTGGACCAGTGCTGGCTGAAAATATTGCCGCAATAAATGCCGTATTGTTATTAATTAGTCGTAAATTAATAATTATAAATAATTTACCAACAAAATGGTAAATAATATTAATAAATAGTTATTATTCATCAAATATTTCTCTTCTTAAAGAAATCGTATTAAAGATGGAGACTAACAATGGATATAGTAAATGAAGTAGAAAAAAAATTGTTTATAACATTTAAAAATTAAATAATAAATAACAATTACAGTAAGTGTGCATTAGATTTTCATATTTTAGTATCTAAAGATTGGAATCTAGAAATATCGCAAACCTATGAAAATAAACAAAATTGCTGACGAGGGGAATCGAACCTACGACCTACGGACTTACAGACTAACGCTCTAACCACTATGCTAACGACACATGTGTACAGTAAAGTATTAACATCTCAGTATCATTCAGACATACAATTATTGAGTCAAAGATGAGAAAAAAATAGGGATACGTTAGAAATAATAAATTGAAATAAAATAAATTAAACTACATTTTTAATAATTAATTTAAATTACTTTACTGCATTTAACATTTTACGTAATTCTTAAATTACGTGGTAATTTTTTAATAATTTTTTATTCATAGTAAGAAGTATAATAGTATTTTAATAGGAACCAAATTATTATTGAGATTAAAGTTTAAATTTTGTTTATAATTTTAATTTGTTTAAATAATTTATTATTTACAAAATTAGACAATTATGTTAAATTGTTATTATTAAATTTAATAAAAATAAAAAATGAACAACTGAAAAGTAAAATATTAATTCATAAACTTTTTTCATAATTTTTTTCAAGTTTATGTCAAAAAAGCAATGTTGGCAAAGAGCGTTGCGAACAATTTTTCTATACTCAGCCAGCACTTGCCGCCGTGGCTTGTCCAAGCTTTGGCGAAACAAAAATTCTGTACTGCGCCAGCACTAATTGTCGAGGCTCGGCTAGACTACGCCGAACAATCGTCTGAGTACTAAGCCAGTGGTGAACATCGGCACTACACTGGCATTTCCCATTGGGATATGGGCAATTCCACGTGAAATTTTCATATGAAATTTTAAAATGATTTAAACAAAATTTAAACAAAATTAATTTGTTTATATTTTTCATATTTTTCTATAAAGAAAGAGTAAGTAGGTATCATTCATACACATATACATTTTTTTTTAATGAGAAAAAAATGTTTAACCGATTTTAAAATGTCATAGGAAAATTTCACGTGGAATCGCCCATAAATATTAGAGTAATAGTACATTGTACAACTAGTGGCGAAAGTGTGATTTTTCGAGAGTGAAGTTTGCGGCTCGAGCGTAGCGAGAGCAGCAATCACTCGAGAAAAATCATTCTTTCACCACGAGTTGTGCACTACGTTTTCTCCAACGCCTTGCGAGGAAAGGTTTCTTCGTGAGTTTCGTATAATTTTAATTTAAAATGTTCTTATGTTTAATATAATAAAAGACGAATGTTTTGAGTGGGGAAGAAGTTAGATACAAAATAAATCTCGGTCAAAGAACAAGAAAAAAGAATAAATTCATGATTTACTTTCGCCACGCTAAAAATTACTTTCGCCACGCTGAATTTACTTTTGCCACGCCAAATTTTACTTTCGCCACGCTCTTCAGAGCAGTTGAGAAAAGTTTTACTTTGGCCACACTTTTCTACCAAGAAAAGTACTCCTTTCAGAGCAAGTGTTGGAGAAATTACTTTTTAATTGTCTCCGCCAGAAATTGGTGAAAAATTATAAAAATTATCGGAGTCTGACGAAGATGAGTGAGAATTCGCATGTATCAACGAAGGCATTTTTAAAAAATGAGAAAATATTTTATAATAGATAAGAGATGTATGTTTATATGCGAGTATGTTAATGATCTAGAAATTTAATTTTTTTATTATTTCATTATATCCATATACAGCAGCGAAACTTTCCTAAAAGTTGAAATTAATACTTGACTGCAACCTTCGGAATTTTTAGTTTCGAAGCTCATGCGAAACTTGAACTAGTTTTTTAAATGCCGACTGTTTTTCAGTGTTGGACGCAAAAGTTGACTGAACATTGCATGAGAGTTTGAGAAATTTTCTAAACTTTCACGCAATGTTCAGTTAACTTCCTCGTTAGACCCTGAAAAATAGTCGACATTTAAAGAATTACTTCAAGTGTTATAAGCTTTACAACTATGTATATAAAGATTCCGAAGGTTGCAGTCAAGTATTAATTTTAACTTTCAGAAAACTTACGGTGATGTAGGGGAAATTTGTTTAAAAAATAATTCTTTAAAGAATAAAATGTTTTATAAATTTTTTAAAAATAAATAATGCATATTTTATTAATAAATATTTAAAATAACAATGCATCCGGTTAATACATAAAAAACATCATTCACAGAAAAAATAAAGTCTTATTTTAAGGCAGCAAGGCCTTAAATCTTAAATTAAGTTGTATTAATTAATTTAAGAATTATCTTAAATTAAGATGCAACATTTTTAAGGCAGTCAATTCTGAATTTACGCAATGGATTTTGTATAATTTAATACTATTGCAGACAGTGTTGAATTTAAAACTGATCTTAAATTAAGATTTACTTTTCATTTTCAATTTACTTTTTTCTCCAACGTCAATTTTGCGTTTATGCATTGCGTTAATTTTCGTTTATGTATGCGCATTACGTTATAGGTAAATCAAGAATAGAATAAGCCAATCAAGCCGAGCTGAAACCTATTCTCTGTACTAGAAAAGGAGAGAATTTAACAAACAGTCGTTGCTGTTTTTTGGCTTCTTTTTTACATGAACGTTCAACGCTCGTTTAATTCTATCAAAATTACGAAAATTTTAAACATAGTTCCAAAGCGTTTCAGTTTTAATAAATATAAAAATTTTTATTTCGAAAGAAAGTAGGAAGAGAAAGAAAGAGAGGGGGGGGGGGAAAGTAGTGGTGAACAAGTCAATTTCACCCGACATGTTATCAAACTTGTTTAAAATGATATATTGCTCTAATTTAGAAAGTAACATTTGACTCCACTTATTAAAAATGTCATGAAAAAAGCACTTAATTAGAATGATTGGACTTGTATATATATATATATATATCATGTCGAATATCTTTATAAATTTGGAACATATTTAAAGAGGACTCAAGTGCCTTCAGGTGTAAAAATTGTGCACTGAAAATAATCAGATTGGACAATAGACCCAAAAAGCTGTTCTGAAGCACTAAATTAAATATTTTTAATTAGATAAATAAATATGATTAATAATTGATTTACTCACACAAATAAAAAAATGTATTTATTTTGCTTGAATTCAATGTTTTTGACAAAGCTTTAAAAAAATTTTTTTTTATTATTAACCACTGAAGAATAAAAATATTCTACATTTTAGTGGAATATATATTTTCGTTTTCAGAAGATAGAAGATTATTTTTTCTATTAGTGATATTACCTTCTTTCGTGGTTCATAAAATAAATAATAAATTATTTTTATTTTACGACTTTTACTCATATTCAATTTTAATAATAAATATTTTTATTAAATAATGTTAATAATTATTATTTTAATTTGCTTAAGAAATACATCGATATTTCCACTGTAAAATAGTAACAATATAGTCATTAAAAAAATCAATCATTATAAACTTAATAATTATTGAATTTTTAAATGTTTTTTATAAAAAATAAAAATTTAATTTGTAATTTCTTTAACTCTTTATTATTTACTAATTATTTATTTTATTATTTACTATTTATTTCTTTAATTATTAAATTTCTATCATTTTAACAATTTAATTTTACCTCCTCAGCGGGGATCGAACTTTGGATTTCCGTTTGCTAGCCGGAAAATCTGACTACTCTAGGTTCAAGTAATGATTTCTTATTTGTAACGGTAATTTCTGTTAATCGAATTACCAAAAATTCCAATTGACTGAAACAAAGTTTTTTCAACCAAATTATTTGGTAGTCTTTACAAATTTTTAGTTGGAAATACAAAAATGTTGAACCAAATTTATTTGGTTGGCGTAACCAAATGTTTGTTTGAGATGAATATTGTAGGATATTTTTTCCAAAAACAAACATGCAGATTTTTAAACTAATTGTCCGACAAATTTTGAAAACTTTTCTCGATATTTGAAAGAGCTGGAGAAAACCTAAAAGATTTTATCAAAATTTTCTAAATTTTTTCCCAATTTTTGTATAATGTTCAGGGTAACGTGATTTTGTTTAATGGAAGACAAACTTGTCTCACTTTAAAAAATAACATTTTATTTAGTACAAAAAACCAGTCGCAGCGACCAATGAATGTTTATACTACACTAACAAGTTTGATAATAGTACAAAATGAAACGTTTTAAAAATAAAATTTATTAGTGCAAATTTACTATTAAAAGTTATTACACATGTTTATTGATTACAGAATTAATTGACTTAAACCAATACTTTTCTCACTATGCGATATTTATACCAGCTGCTTGAAGATACTTTTTGAGGTGACTTCCATTTGGATCTGGTATCTGAATTAAAATTTGAGATAATTGATCCAATGATAATTTACCGAGTCCTTGGGCCAAAAACATTCTGACATCTCCAACGGCTGTAAAAATTTAAATCCCTTTATTTCAAAACCTAAATTTCGTTTCTTCGGTTATTAATATAAATGTAAAACTGAGTAGATCTCAAAATTGGACAAGTGAAGGGACAAGTATGGTATGTCTAATATTGTAAACAATAAGTAGAGGAACCAAAGCTGATTACAAATAATAACACAAGCCTGCAAAAAAATAAAAATTTCCGTTGTCTGAGATCGAGTAGTCATTTCCCGCAGTATTTGGTGCGATGAACCCGAATCTGTCAACCAAAACCTCCCATCACGTCAGGATTTTGAGAAAAGTGGGGTAAATTCCCAAAAATCATGTTTTTCGATGTTTTTGAAAATTTCTACCGGGTAAATCTGACGTGCTAGAGACTTGCCATAGGATTCAAATTAAAGCCTGAACCCTGTACTTTAAGAAGATAAAGCGATATTGCTAACTAAAAAACTAAATTAAACTAAATTAGCCGTCAAAAATTATTTTTTTAACAGTTGTCAAGCATAAAAATTGACTCACACTGTCCGTAAATACAACTATTTTAAAAAATGATTGGATCAAAAAATTTTTGCACGTAAGGTTCCTTTTATCGCGTCAGGAGTCAGGACACATATATTGTCCGGGGAAAACAACCAAAAAACCGAAATTTTTGAGAAACCGAAAACAAGAAACTGTAACCGAAATTTTTCACATTAAAAACCGAAACCCAAATACAGGAACCCTAATCCTTTGAAAAAAAAAACCGTAACAGAAATATTACCGTAGCCGAATGTTTTTTAGAAGAATACAGAAAAGTGGAAACCGAAACCAATAAAATTCCGGTTGCCATCCGTGAAAAATTTTCAAGTCAAATGGTTAGAGACCATTCTTAGCTCACAGTAAATCGAGAGGTGTTAAAATAACACCAGAATAGATTAAAATAATCTGCAGCAGTTTAAACCCTCTAGGATTAAATTAACACCAAAAAGAATTAAAATAATCTATTTTGGTGTTATTTTTTACTATGAATGAAATTTTACTACAAATCATAACCAATTCAATGATTTTTCAAAATTCACCGAATTTAGGTTTACCAGAGACAATAGATAATGATCTGAGTATGTAAACAAGTAAGCAAATTAATAAGCAAAGAAGGAAGTGAGCAAGTAAGTAATTAATACAGTAAGCAAGAAGGAAATAACTTACTTACTTACTTAGTGGCTTACTTACTTGCTTATTTCCTTCTTGCTTACTGCATTAATTACTTACTTGCTCACTTCCTTCTTACTTACTTTCTTGCTTGCTTGCTTACTTACTTACTCAGGTCAAGTAAGTTCCTGGTAAAGCTAAAATCGGTGAATTTTGACAAATCATTGACTTGGTTTTTATTTGGAGTAAAATTTCATATAATAGCCAAAAATAACACCAAAATGGATTATTTTAATCTTTTTTAATGTTACTTTAGATTGCATCGGTTATGACTCAGAGATAGCGAATTGTCACCTTGATTTGGAGTGATTTAGTTAACTTAGTGTTTAGTTAACTTATAACTTGAATAGTCACCATTGAGTGTGGCTAAACAAGTTTCAATTTATGATCATAAAGGGGAATTCAAACAAAAAAGGGACACTCTTTTTTAACATTAAAAGTACTCCTCCCAGAGCAGGCGTTGGAGAATATAGTACATTTGCGGCTCGAGCGTAGCAATCACTCTCGAAAAATCATTCTTTCACCACGTGTTGTGCACTACGTTTTCTCAAACGCCTTGCGAGGAAAGGTTTCTTCGTGAAATTTGTATAATTTTAATTCAACGTGTAATATAATAACAGACGAATGTTTTGAGTGGGGAAGGAGTGAGACACAAAATATATCTCGGTCAAAGAACAAGAAAAAAAATTAAGTCATGATTTACTATCGCCACGCTCTTCAGAAGAGTTGATAAAAGTTCTACTTTCGCCACTCTTATATAAGAAGAAAAGAACTCCTTTCAGAGCAGGCGTTGGAGAAAAACAAAAGTCTTAATCATTAAAGAATAGGAAAAAAGAGAAAAACTTACCTGTAAAAGGATCTGGCTTCACGTTTTTGGCGAATAGAAGCTGACTATAAGCTGCATGATAACCTACATTGTCATCAATTTCTGGAAATACTTGTTCCTCACTCGTTACTTGATCACCGTTAGACGTTTCAAGCAATTCCACAACAGAAGTCAGTAATTGTGGATAATAAGACATATAAGGTGGTTGCAACAATGCCGGACAGTTAGTGATTAAATTCGAGTATCCAAACACTGTAACTTTCCTCTCTATTTCCCCAGTAACTTTTTGTAAATCGGCAATGATTACCCTTTCTAAGACCATTCCAAACATTCTGAAATTCAAAATAGAAAATTTTATTGCTTAGGGGTCGTCCATATACCACGTGGACAGTTTAGGGGGGAGGGGGGGGGGGGTCAATACAAATGTCCACGTGGACACAAAAGTTTAATTTTATATCTTTTTTTTCTTTTTATTCAACTTTATTATTAGATTATTATTAGATTGTGATCAGACAATATTTGTAATCCGAAATTTATTTAACTGTCAAAAAAACGCCAAACTCTTTTTTAATTTATATTAGAAAATCATTATCGTAAATGCACAAATATGAATATATGCAATTTTGTCAATTAGGAATACAAAGCAACCTCTACAAACTCTTACAAATTCTAAAAAAAATAATTTCTATTATTGTTTATGTGAAGGCTTAAAGCTATTGGATTTTAGCAAAATTTAAGATTTGTTACCGAAGAGATTAAGTATTTCTACTAATATAATAATTGAAGATATATTGCTGCCAAAGTCCTCTCTATAATACTAAAAATGGTATTTACCTATTTAATAATATTTTAAGATAATTTAATCTTTATTGAATTTTAAAGAAGTTTGTTATAAAAAAATTTAAAGAATTTTTTAATTGTATTTCTTATTAAATATCTTTTTATTATTCACTATTTTAAAATAAAAAACCCGATTGTCCACGTGGACAATCAGGGGGGAGGGGGGGGGGTCAAAAAGTGTCTAAAAAGTGTCCACGTGGTATATGGACGACCCCTTAACGTTAAAATAATATATTTCTCAGTTATAAATTTAATTTTACAATAAGAATAGGACTATAAAATCCCTTAAGTAGTAAACTATTGTTATTGGTTGTGATAAAACTAGTTTTTACAATTATAAGAATAGGACAATACTTACTGGGTCTGGATTTCTTCAACCATTGAAATCAAGTTAGGGCCACCGTACTTCAGAATGTAGTAAGCAAAGAATACGATAAGGCCCTTTACAAATTTCACTGTTTTGCTTGAAGAAAGTCTTTGGAAAAACAGCATGAAAACTTGTTTCATATAAGATTGTAGTGTTTCTCTGAAAGAATAATAAAAATAATAATGTTAGAAAAGGTTCGGTAAATTTTAGAATATAAATAAAGGAATCAAAATTAACTTTTGGGAGATTCTACTGTACACAAAAAAACCCAAGTTCATTTTTGTTGCAACTCAAAATGAGCCTATCCCTGGTAAAAATTTCAGACCGTAACAATCGGAATTTATGACCGGTGAGGAATTCTTCTAAAATAAGTATGGAATTAACCCGGAGCAATCCGAACTTTATAAGCAAGAAACAAGTACGAAACAATCCGAAAGCTGTATGCTAAGAATCCGGATTTAATCCAATTTTTTAATTGGATAATCCGAAACAAATACGAAACAATCCGAAATCTTTACAAACAATAAAGCTAGGTAGGCTTGTAAGTAATAATTAGAATTAATCACAAGAAAAAAATTGCACATTGTATTACAAAATTCAATTCAACAACAATGCTCGTAAAGATGCAGTGAAACTGGCAATATTAATTTCAAAAAAATTCACATCATCAGAAATCGCATTTGCTTATCCGCTAACCCAACTGCTTTGGTACGTCAACTAGTAACTTGATGAAATATTATACTTAAAAAATGGTACTTACGTAGGGAAATGTTGAATTATGCATTGAATCAGTAGGAAACCTTCGTGATCATGAGCTTTCGATGCAATTAATTTTTGGAAGACACCAAGAAGAGCACTAATTTTATCTTGTGCAATTATTTGATGAGCTCCTTTTGTAATAAAAGCTTGCAACAGTCTGTTCAATGGATCTATGTTTCCCTGATATTCAAATAATACTGGTGCTAATAAACATGGGAATAGAGCCATGTACGGTTCAGGAACGTTCGCTTCACTACGCAATTCAAGAAGTAGTGCAAGAATTTGGAAAACATATGGTATAAATTCTGGAACATAACAAATATTTACAGAAAATCAACAAGTTTAGTATCTATATTATATCAAACAATTTTGTGTCATTAAAAGATTTTATTTCGATATTTAACAATTGGCAAAATAAATGACAAAAGTTATTCTAGAATCATGTAGTTGAAGAAAGAAAAAATTTGGTCTACTCACCTTGTACGTCTTGTTGCAAAATTGCTTGGAAAATAGGGAAGAGTGTTTGCTCAAAAGACACAATAGCTTCCAAATTTCGTTTACAAACAATCCTGTAAAAATATTAACATTTATAAATTCATTGATACGTAAAGAAAAATTTGTATGCTATTGTTTCGATACCGATAACAATAGTTTTCAAAGTTGAAGACGAAAAAATTGATTTACAAAAGAATTATTTCCAAGTAATTTTAACTTAAAGTTCAGATAGTTATTTAGAATATTTAATAAGGGGCCGTCCATATATTACGTAACGCTAATTTTTGAAAATTTTGACCCCCCCTCCCCCCATGTAACACACTGTTACATACATTAGCGCCATTTTTTTAGCTTATCGTAACAAATAGCTTGACCCCCCCTCCCCCTAAAAAGTGTTACGTAATATATGGACGATCCCTAATGGAAACTTACTTTATGGATAAACTGAGAGTTTCGAATAAATAATGATTAAAATTCGGACGACTTGGATTTTTCGCTACAGTAACAAGTTTTTCCGTTAACTTGGGCAATAAAGTAGCAAGATGAGGTACTACATTGTCTTGCAAAATCACGAAACTTCGCATAATGGCTTTCATAACATATTCATTGTCCTCAGAACCAGCAATCTCTAAGGCGGCAAACAGCCCATTCAATAAATCTACTGCTAAGACCACGATTTCCTTTTCCTGCACCCTGGGGAATTGAAACCATTTATTGGATTACAAATAAGTTTAAATTCAACATTTTTGTCTATCCGACATACAGATTCGTTGGCAAAATAGTAGCAAAATCTTACTGTGAAGCATTTTCTTGATCCCTAAGAGCAAGAATCTTCTCAATAGCGCAAGCGGCATACGTGTGAACTACAGTCATGGAAGCTGACAAGTGCTTGATGAGTAATGGCAAAGCGCCTACTACGTGTTCTCGAGGTAGTACAGACCTAAATGTCATTACAAACTTTATGGCATCAGCTTTCAGAACGGGAAACTCATTGACTGAAATAAAGATGATAATTTGTGACTACATCGGAGTCTGCGGAATTTTATTGATAGTGAGGCTTCTTCTTGTAGAACAATATTTCTCTCAAGGTCCATAATTCGCTATATAAAAACACGCAGGCAAATATTGTTCCCAATTGAGTAATTTCAACTGCAATATTCTTACTAAATTTGACTCCATTGTAATTATTTACAAACTTTTCAAAATCAAACAGTTAATAATGGAAAATAAATTAAAATAATAATTACCGACACTACCCAAGTACAAAACTGGAATCGACTTCTACCTTGGACCATTTTGTGGTGAATCGAAAAGTATTTATTACTTATTTTTTTTTATTTTGGCAGACAAACTACTTTATGGGTTGATTTTTTTAAAATTCATCGAATTCGCTTGAAACTTATTGTTACTCGGCGATTTTTGGAGTTTCTGATCCAATAAAGCCAAAATAAAAAATACGTATAAAATATTTTTTAATTCCCTAAAAAATAATTGAAGGTAGAAGTCGGTCGGTACTTGTCTGTCAAAAGAGTATAAAACTTGTTCTAAATACTAATTGAAAAAATGTCTAATTCCAAAGTAAATCCATTAAAATTACCATTTGGTCTCAAGAGTTCTGGAAATATATGTTCCTGTGTAAACTCAGGTAACGACACAAGTCTACTGCTTTGTGTTACTCCATGCTTTTGAGTTTGTCCTTTACTAACACAACTTACTACTAAATATATTGCCGCATCTTTACTTTGCCAGTTTTCCGCAGGTTTATCTTTGTAACTTTGCAGCATAATCTAAAACATAATTCAATTTCATAATTGCACTCTGCACTGCAAATTGAAATTATTTATTTCAAAGTAAATAAATTTGTATGAATGACTTTTGGCCCACATAGGATCAAAATTTGAACACTGAAAAAATTATATTCTAAATTTAAGAAAAATCTACTTAAACAGGCGCCAAGAATATTCCCGACTTAAATTAAGTGGAATATACTTTTGTTATTTACTAACATAATAACGACGATACAAATAACTATTGAATTAAATTGTTATTTAATTAATAATGAATTATTATTAACCATGTCAAATTAAATTACTAAATTCAATTTCTTAAAGAAAGAAAAAATGGTGACGAAGAACAGAAAGAGAATGTTGTAACAGGAAGTCCTTTTTTCTATAATTGTTAATATGGAGCTTCGTATTTTATTGATACTCCCCTACCCCCTAATTTATCACATGCCTTACAAATGACCTCAAATGAGAACAAGAATCCTTAAAAGAAGAGTTTTAAAAATTGATAAAAAAAGACGAAAAATAATTTTTATAACTAGGTAGTTGGTAAAAACATTTCAAAAAAAGATGAAGCTCACCTGGATATAGAAGCCAAATATTTCTATAATTTTATTTTCAAAATATTTTGAAAATACTTTAACTAGGTCAGAAGCAGCTCTTCTTCTAGTATCAACATCACTTCCTTCAATATCACGTCTTATATATTCTTCTGGATTAAATTCAAACAATTCATTATCAGAAGCTGAAAAGAAAAAAAATTTTTTTCAAGTTGAAATATTTGTAAAAAATATTCATGACTGGAAAAGATTGTGTTGCTCTAAACTGCAGTCTTATATCAATTAAAATTTATACCTTTGAATTCCAAATTAGGAATAATCACTTTCTCACAAATACTTCCAAGAGTAGCAGGATCTTCGAAAAGATGTCTGTATTGAGACCTGTCAGCTACCGTTGCTAAAAATTGTAATGCATTTGACACCAACTAGAAGAAAAAAAATTATTTCATGAACAAATGTTATGAGATGGTTTTTAGAGAAAGAAATTAGTGCATAAAAACTTGAAAGCAGATTAAGAATTGAATAAAGCGAATGTAATTCGATGTCAACTTACAGCATCAAATTTAGGCTTTTGAACATTCGAAGTTAGTAAATTCCACACAGCCGTTACAAACTGAGGTAAATATGTTTGAAATTCTTCATCATACTTATGGGCATATAAACAAACATTATCACAAACTTGTGATTTTAATTGTTCGAGTAGTCCAGGTTCTTCTTCATCCTTAAATCAAATTAATTATCATTTAGCCTTTGATTTAGTAGGTTAAATATTTTATTTCTAACTTTTATTATTATTTCAATTATATTATCCGACAACTTTTAACATTCTATATAGTAAAAAACTACATTTTAATAATTTTCCTGTACGGCAAAAAATGTGTACAGTTTCCGATCATTAAAAACGTAATAAAAGTTTCGTATATCTCAGACTCATTTTCATGCAATATCATAAACAAAAAAAACTAATAAATATAAAACATTACCTCTGTTTGTAATAATGGAACTTCTGTAGTGAGCAAAGTGTAGAAATTCGACATCCATGCTTCCATATTATCTTCGAAGAATTCTGGCAATTCCTGTGAAAAATTAAAATCAATGAATTCACATTACAATAATTACATCCTTATAGGTAAAATCAAATCAATTAATGAAATAATAATAAAATATTTTTTACTTAATTTGCAATTAATTTGAAAAAATATGGACTTACTTGGAAATTAAGAGAATAAAATACTTTACACAAAACAACTAGAGAATTGTAAATTATTTTGAGTGCCTCAACATTATTCGAATGCACTTCCGTTAACTTCATGGTCGTCTGAAAAATTTAAAAGACTTGTGGTAAAATGCCAAGTCACTAAATATTTACACTTATTTGGTAAATATTTCTTCTGGGAAATCTTACCAAGAATAGATCTGTCAGAGGCTTAGCAAAATGATCTAATACAAATTTAATTTCCGTCCACAAAGTTTGACTTTTGAATTCGTAACGATATTTTTTGAATAACGAGTGGGCAGTGTGGAGAACACCATTGATAATATGGAAATCTCCCGTATTAAATTTCTCCACCATTTGATCAATTAAATCCGGCCACTTGTCTGGAAAGTCGTATTTACCAATTATCGATATCGCATCCGAAAGTTGCTTTTGAATTGAATCAGGAGAGTGCAACATTAGATTTATAATCAATCTTTTTATAGCTTCTCGATCCTGACCATGTATGCGATCTCCATAATCTTCGTCCTGAAAGTTTCCAAAAAACTTGAGTATAATCTTCTTGCAAGGGTTTTGAAAAGCTGATAAACATTTCAAGAACTGCTATTTACCATATATAAACTTATTATTTTTGATAATAATTTAGCAACTTCTAAGTAGGAAAGTTGCAAAAATGTTTTCTTATTTTTAAGTGCAAAGCAAAAAGTGTTATCTTTTAACCCTAGAGCGTGGCTAGTACTACTTTAATTTTTATTGTTGTGGAGTTTAAAATAACATTCTTCTTTATTCTACTTTTTGAGGAATGTAACCAAAAATACTTACTACTTTCCAATTTCGTTTAATGTAATTTTTAAATGCAACTGATCCTGCAGTTCTAATTGTCATGTCAAAGTCAGACTTATCAATTAAATGTAGTAAAAGTACAGGATAATTCTGATTCACTTCAACAGATTCAAGAAATTTTTCAGCTAAAACAAAAAATATTCATCATAACGCTTTTATAATAGTTTAAAATCTTTTAAAATAAAAATACAAGCAAGTCGAGTAATTAAAGACTAATTTTCTCTCAAATTAATTACTATTAAAAAATGAGATTACTACAGCTAGATTCCTTTTTTTCTAAAGAATCCAGTAGTATAAAAAACTCATTTTGCATAAAAATATCGAATTAAAATTTTTTTTTCATCAAAACGGCAAATCTGCAGTCAGATTTTAAGAATTCAAAATGGTGGGTCCAATATGGCGGTAATTGTTTTCAATAATTGGTTTATTTTGCTTTAAAATTGTTACTTAGCGGTTTTTTGGGTCGCTGATAAGAAATCTGAATTCAGACTTAAAAAAATCAATATATCCGTTTTAAAATATTGTAATTTTTATTTATGTTTTTTTACTATAACGCACTTGTTTGTCTTCAAACGACCTGTGCAGTAGTTTTCTTTTTAAGCACGCTCCTCCTGGTACAATATCTCTTTTTAGCATCCAACAGTAGTTAGCCATCATATTTAGGGGAGAGTGGGGCAAAATGGGGTGGCATCAAATAACTATACAAAACATTGAATATTTTTTCAAAATTCATTAAATTCTTGTTGTATGAGATTATAAATACAAACAAAAAGTAGGATTCTTTATTATTATGGAAAAACAAGTAATATTTATTAAAATTTAACAAAAAAACATGGATATTGCAAAATATCGATATATATCCCAAAAAGTTTGGAGAGCACTTTAATTTTGAAAAAAATTCATATTTTTTTTGCTTAAAACTTAAAAGTTGTATAACTTTCAAAAAAAAATTTTCTTTGGAGTGTCTTCATAATTAATAACAGTTTCTTATCAACATGAATGATATATGTCGAGGATAAAAAAATTAAAAGTACCTATCATGGAAAAACAGAGGTACCCCATTTGACCCGCCTACCCCATTTTGCCCCACTCTCCCCTACGTCCCAACTGCCTTGATAGCGGCGCTCCATTTCTTTAATATCTTGATAAAACCGTTTTCTTTTTTCCTCGCTAAATTTTCTTAAATTATTGGGAAAGTATCTTAGATGTGAACGTAGGAAATGAAGCTTCAAATCCATGAAGCACCCTAATTTTTAAAAGTTTGTAATCATATCATTTACTGTTAGCGAATTTGTGACCCATAAAAAATTTCTTCTTTTAGTTTCGCATCAGATATCTCTAGATATTTTTGATCCAGGAACTCGAAACCTATCCATTCTTTATCTAATCTAATCTAATCTAATCTAATCTAATCTAATCCACTGTCCTACAAATATAAAAACAGGGTATTTTCATAAAACTTCCCAGTAAAAAAAAACTAATTCAAACGGATTGAAATGAATTAAGATTTTTGGAAGAAAGCGGGATTCATTCAAGCTCTTTGTATATTCGATTGAATTCGATTTAATTTGCCTGAAGTTGTGCAAACGAATTCGCATTCGTAAGAAATGACCAAGGCATGCATTGAATTCGTGCTGACGAATTAAAAAAAATTAAAGGCCCCAAAACTTGTCCATTGAATTAGTAAGAATAGAAGGTTTGGAAGTTCAATACAGTTTGACGAATTCAGGAAAATTGCAACATAGCTCCTATTCGTATTTGTCACAAAGCGGGATTCACTGAAACTCTTTGTGAATTCCTTTTAATTTATTTCAATTAGTTTTTGTTTACTGGGTTGCTTGTTGTCCCAGCATAATACTTTCAATCTTGAAATCTCCACAAATTTGCCAATTGTGTTCTTTATATTTAATTTTCTCCAAAACTTGTTTAACAGTTTCATTATCTTCTTTAAGTTCTGCTGAAGGGTCTATGGGAATGAAAGAAAAAACATTAGTGTTATGAATTAGCACTGCCTTTAGACTTCTTTTAGAAGAGTCAATAAATAACCTCCTATGTTGATCTTTACATTTGGTTTCAATTCATTCATTAGTCCTTCAATGTCGGAACAATATACCAATGACAGCTCATCTTTTGTAAAAGATTTTCAAAGTTCCATTATTTTCTTTTTCACTCTAAAAATTCACTGAATATCAAAAATATTCAGTAGTATTCGACCAATTATTTGAAATTTTTAAAGTCTGACTTGAAATTTGTAATTTTAAATCAACATAAATCAATTTTTGAAAAAATGACCGCCATATTGGATCCGCCATTTTGAATTCTCAAAATGTGACTCCAGATTTGTAATAATCGACCTCGAAAACCCCTAGATGCCGACTAAAGAAAAAATCCAAAAAATTGTCCGCCATTTTGAAGTTTTAAAATCTGACTTTAGATTCGTAATCAGTGGCCTTAAAAAATGTGTATGTTACATAAATTACATAACATAACATACACACTAAAAAAAGTCTTACTTTCAGCCTATTTTTGAGGCTGAATTTAAGGTGTAAACGGAGTCAGACCCGTTGAGCGTTGCAATAGTTAAGTATTTACAACTATTCCTTCTTTGAGTTGTGTGTATTTTATCTTTAATTCGTTTTTTTTGCGTATCTCCCTTGTTCCTACAATTTTATTTAATTATGACGAGCGAATAAATAAGAATGAATGTACAGTAAAAAATCGATGTTTTGTACCACCTAATGTGGTTTCCCTGTTAAATGCTTTTTTATTAAATGATATAGTTGGCTTGTTTATCATTTGAGGAATATTCATGCATCCCCGCCATGGGAATTAAAGTAAAATCATTAGTGTTATGTAGTAGCAATGCTTTTAGCCCCAATTGATCCAACTTCCAGTTAACTCTCACTGTCAGATAAGAAATAAGAAGTAACGTGCGATAAACTTATCTGGCACTCATCGGGAAGTTGATTAAGTGGGGGTTAGACTACCTAGAAAAGTTTAATAGATCGAAGGATTATTTCATCGAAAATCTAAAAGTTCGAAAGATCCTTCGATGCATAAGAGATTCCAAGTTATATTTATTGGACACTTTGTCATTGGACGAAATGATTGTTCTAGATTTTGAGTATTTTTTAAAAACTATTTTTCTAATTAAAGTTACTCATTAGGAAGTATAAAAAAATTAGAAATTTTCACTTATTCAAATTAAAAGAATAGGTTATAATAATGAACAAATTCGTAATAATAATCCCAGATAGCACGTAACTTTGTAGCAACATTGCGGCAATGTTTCCTCGCAATGTTATTCATTGCGCATTATTAATATGCCCCACCTCCGCAACATTACACGGCAACGTTTCGGCAATGTATCATGCAACATTGTTGTAAAGGTACTTGGGAATGTTGCGTCAATATTGCCGCAAGGTTGCGTGAAATCTGGGCTATGATCTTGAATATGAAGGGACAGAGGATCTAAAGCTGTTTTCGGCATTCACTCAGGGATACCCCGGGTAACGATCGTAAAATCATCAATAACATTCTGTTTGATGTAACCAATCTCGACTAACCCGGAGTTAACCCAAGACGAACGCTGAAAACGCCTAAAGTAACGACATTTGATCTGATTTTGAGGTTATGTACGCCTCTTGACCTGGAGTTATAGTAAATATACTATACCTCTCATGCGAAGGAAATCTCTAGAAAATTATGCTAAATACACTATAGATTCTAGAAACAGCTGCGGCGGACATATTTTTTTATAATAACTACATAATTATTATAAAATAATGATAATATTTTTGGTAGTTTTTTAAATTAAATAAAAATAGCAAATATCAGGAAAATATTAAATGGTCCGACGGTATAGCCTAATGTCCAGGCAGATGAAATTACATACTGATAATGCAAGTACATAATTTCATTGCGGCAAAGTAGGAACTATAAAGTCTTTGAGTAGAGTTGAATTAAGTAGGAAGGAAATTTTAAAAACCTTATGAAATATGTACAATTTGTTCTTTGAAACAATCTAACACAGTAAATACACATTCATCTTCTAAATTTCTGTCTTTATTGTTTCTCATTATTTCGATAGGTGTTACAAAAAAAACACAATCGAAAAAAAACACTCCCGAAGAAAATATAACCAAAAATACAGTTTTCATTTGAAATTTTCTGCACAAATAAGAGTTTTTTTTAAATTTTCTCTTTCGTGTTGTAATATTTATTTAAAAATTTAATATAATCAAATTAGTTTTTAAAATTAAAAGTTAATTTTTTCATTTACAAATCGGGAGTGTTAGTTTTCTTGCATATCATAAGAGTGTTTTTCTTCCTAACACCCTTCGATTTATTGGAATAGAATAGAAAGTGTTTGGAAGTGGTTGGAAGTCTAATTTTGATATAGCAATTAATACATGTTCAACATTTTTTATTATGTTTATATTAGTTCTTTTTGAGCGTTAAATTAATTCTAGTTTACCTCTTGTTTTACCTTATTATATTTACAATTTTATATTTATAACGACTAATAATCGTTTCTTTATTTCTTAATCTACCTAATAGTTATTTTTTAGTGTATTTTACAGATAATTTTAAATAATTGGTTATTGGATTTTAAAATTTTTTTTTATTACTGCTTCAGTTAATAAAACTTTTTCTACCCTAAAAATCTTGATTAGCAAGTGGAAACTGAATTGTTAAAACTGAAAAAACTGCAGCAAACAAAGACAATTAATTTTTACTACGAACTTAATATAAACGCTCTGGAGTGTTTTAATACCCTCGGCTTACAATGTCCAAAAAATGGAGAAAAAAATTAGGATCTGCATTTTTTAACTCTTTATCAGGGTTTTCGTTAAGAACGTATTTATTAAGATATTGTTGTTAACGAGTTAAGAAAAAAAATGTTCCTTTGTGCAAAGTTGGCAATATTTACTAATTTTAAGAATTTTATATACAGTAACAATGCATTAAGTAAATTTAATGAGTTTATCATCACAACAATTATAACTCGAATATTAAAAAACATGTTAAATGCAAATCTCATTTGATAATTGAAGGTTATGTTAAACATGATTGTTTAATAGTACTCGATAATGTAAGTTACTTATAACTTTTTTAAGGGGAAAATTAAAGTCCATTAATTTCTGACATGATGAAAAGCAAATTAACAGCTTTATGGCATGCATTTCGTCTATTTTGCCATTAATAGAAAATACAAAACAAACAGCTTTGGTTATAATACCTGGTCGTCTAGTATTCACATCAGGACTTAAAGAATGCTTCAAATATTCACTTAAAGTTTGCAAATTTTCACTCGTTATCTCCATTTTTACTTATTTAAGTGACTGATGGAAAAAATAAAATAACAAGAATACAATCTTTCTCTATACGAATTCAGTTAAGTTTCGCCGGCTTTTTAAAATGTTTAAAATCTTCCTCAGCGTCATATACAACAACCTTCGATATATTAAGGCTATGAACGAGGACATATCAAGTATAAGATCTGTAATGTGAAATTTCGTTCCTGAATGTACTTCTGCAATAAAAGCTAAAGGTGCCGTCCCATGTCGGCGTAAAAACGTCAAAGTGTCGGCGTCAAAATGTAAATGCATGAGAGTGAAAGAAACAACCTTATATCACTATCTCGTTCACTCTCATAACGCCGACGCTTCGACGCTTTGACGTTTTTACGCCGACATGGGACGGCACCTTAATGGAGCGTTTAGGGTGAAGTCCCATTGAACCGTTTTGCGTTGCGTTTTGCAACTAGGCCATGAGTGCAAATATAGACAACATATATCTGTATCTCTCTCACACTCATGGCCTAGTTACAAAACGCAACGCAAAACGCTGTCATGGGACTCCAGCCTTACACCTTCGGTAAAAATTGTCCAGAACGGCAAATTTACATTGTAGTAAGAGAGACAGATATACAGTTTGTCTCTCTTACTCCGCAATATAGATTTTCCATTCTGCACAATTTTTACAGAAGGTGCAGAAAACCTAAAGCAAAACATTATTTCATAGACCTTTTCATCTCGAATAATTTTTTCTCAATAATAATAATAACTTCCGGTCGGTCATATTCAAATTTCCCATGTTAATACATGGTGAATTTTTGAATATGACCGACTATCATGGCGGACTGAGATTGCGCATTCTTCATTTCCTATTCGAGATGAAGGCTGGAGTCCCATGACAGCGTTTTGTGTTGCGTTTTGTAACTAGGCCATGAGTGTGAGAGAGATACAGATATAGGTTTGCTCTATTTGCACTTATTGCCTAGTTACAAAACGCAACGCAAAACGCTACCATGGGACTCCAGCCGAAAAGGTCTATTAGGGTCAGTTTCACCAAACTAGTTCAAGCACTGGGGCCGTATTCTCGAATCGATGACCCTAGATGTCGCATGCGACAGACCATTCGAGATGGAAAAAGCTATTCTCGAACGCTTGTCGCATGCGAGATTTCATGTCGTATGCGATAATTTCCGAATGGTTCATCTCGAGTGGGTAGTGGCCATTCGAGATGCAAAGTCGTATACGAAATGCTAGTAAAAAATAAGGTTGTGTGTCATCCTTGTAATAAACGTATATAATATAAAGTACCCAGTAAACGAAAACTAATTGAAATGAATTAAAAAGAATTCACAAAGAGCTTTCGTGAATCCCGCTTTGTGACAAATACGAATTGGAGCCATGATGCAATTTTCCTGAATTCGTGAAACTGTATTGAACTTCCGAACCTTCTATCCGTACCAATTCACTGGACAAGTTTTGAGCCTTTAATTTTTTTCAATTCGTTAGCACGAATTCAATGCATTCCTTGGCCATTTCTTTCGAATGCGAATTCGTTTGGACAAATTGGTACATATTGAATTAAATTCAATTGAATATACAAAGAGCTTGAGTGAATCCCGCTTTGTGACAAATACGAATTGGAGCCTACCAAAAATGTTAATTCGTTTCAATTCATTTGAATTAGTTTTTTTTTACTGGGTAGTATTAGTGTACATGAACCGCATGCTAAAGTAGAAAAACTATACAAAATAACCTAAATGTAATGTTTAAGAATTAAAAGTAAACTTGTGAAATAAAAGTTTAATGTAAATAATTTATAATATGCAAAATTTATAATGGATAAATTGCACATGTTTGTGTTATTTTTGTGAATGAATCATGTTAACAATATATTTATTTTATTTTTTATTTTTTTTAATTTTTTAATCTTCGTTTCATTTTTTCTGTCTGTTCACACTTTAAAGTTAGTTTTTGTGTATGCTTTTGTTTTTTTCTTTACAAAATATTGTTTCACAAATTGAAAGTATGCTCTTTTTTAAGATTTAAAATAAAATTTAAAATTATAAAATTACAAAAAATTTTGATTAACAAATAAATTTTCTTTTTGCAAAAATAGGAAATATATATATTTATTAATTAAAATTATGCATAATATAAAGGGATATATCCCTTTATTATGCATAATTTTAATTTTTCAATAACAATATTGTTCACAAACTGATTCTTTTCTTTAAAAAAAAAATATTACATATTCCAGTTTCTTAACATTTTTGTAAAAAATTCTCAATTTACAAATGCTAATATTAAAACTTTAATATAAAAAAAAATGTTGTTACATTTATTTACGAATTTCTTTAATTATAAAATTATTCGTAATAATATCAGTAACTTCTATTTAAATAAATATTTGATTGTTATTATTTTTTCATTATTTTATTACATTTAAAAATAATTAAATTTTTGTAATCATTTTGTAACGTACGTCTACAAAATTCAATGTATTTAGTGTTTTTAACTAAAATTCTTCTATAAATTCATTATTTTTAATAATTAATTAAATATATATTGCCAAATATAACTAATTTCAAAAGAATTTGAATTATCAAAATTTTAAATTAAATTCATTCAAAATTAAAATTTTATAAAATTTCAAACTGAAACCGCTTAAAGTTAATTTGTTTATAAAAATTGTAAACGCAAAATTGAATTGATTTTGAAATATTTAAATGAACGGATAACTATTTGTATTTTTCTCATATGTACGGAAGCTTCTACGCGCCACCCTGCGGCACTCACTCGCTTTACGAGGCACAAGGCAAATGTCGTTTGAAGCACCCTGCTAGTGAATGCCTTGTACGATGCCTCGGTGTGTGCCTCGTAGGGTGCCTCGATGCGTGCTTTGTGCGACCAGTAGTAGACCAGTGTTTTGAAATTTTAAACGGCTTTAAATGTAAATCAGAATTCTCAAAAAAAAAATTTGACTAGTTCAGGTTAAATTAATAGCTAATTGCTGTTAATATTTTTAAATTAAAAAGTGTAAATTTTAGAATAATTGAAGGGTGGCATGACAAAAGGGAGTCAGCAACAATTTTTCGAAATTGAGATATTTTTAGAAAAAAATCAGGTAAATTCTTTTACACAGTTCTGTAAAAGGATTTTCTTGTAAATTGTTTTTTAAACTCGTTTTTAATAAAAATAAGAATAAGACAATAGCCTACATATTTTTACTTACAATGCAATTCAGTTAAAAAACAAAAGAAATGAATATTATTATGAATAGATTAATATCGTTAAAAATATTTATTTCTTTTTTATATCATTAAATATATATTAAATTTCTCTGAAAAACTGTATGTCTATTTAGAAATAATTTTTATTCTTTATCTAATTTTCAATAATTTAAATATTATTCTTCTGTTAATTTTTAAATATTCCTGTTTGTAGTTTACATTTGATAATTTCTATACTTTTTACTTTCAAAAGTTAACATTAAATTAACAATTTTCTTGAAAACAAACAACTTTTTCAAAGCAAACTTTTTTGCATTCAATTCGTCATTTCAATATTAAAAAACTAATTTTTCAGTTTTTCTTTAAACTGTATATTTTTTAACAATTATAATTTTATAACAAAATATGCGCATTTGACGTAACCACAAAATAGTACACTTTTACTTATTTTTCTCACTAATATGTAGGTTGTAGGTTTATCTTCATAAATTTTATTTCTACTGATTGAGCGAAATAGTATTTCCAAACGGTTTTTTTTAGATTTTTCTTTAATGATCAGAAAAAATTTTTAATGTGTTATTTTCGTTTCCTGTAAAATCGTTAAATTGTTGCTTGACCATTTTTGTCATGCCACCCTTCAATTACAAATTTTGTTGAATCTTGTTTTAGATTGTAGTGAGGGTGTTGAAATGTTTCTTTTACTTGAGTATAAAATGTCAAGGTTATGTTTTCACCATTTTCACCTACCAAAAAAGTTATTTATGACAAGCTGCAAGTACGATTCAATATATTTTTATATATGAGGATTGAATTCAATAATTATTCAAGATGTACATATTTGCTTAAAATTTTTAAGACAACTAGAGGTTATATAACCTATCTCTCAAGTAAAAATACATTTCAACACCCTCACTACAATCCAAAAAAAGATTCAACAAAATTTGTAATTATTCTAAAATTTACACTTTTTAATTTAAAAATATTAACAGCAATTAGTTATTAATTTAACCTGAACTAGTCAAATTTTTTTTTTGAGAATTCTGATTTACATTTAAAGCCGTTTAAAATTTCAAAACACTGGTCTACTACTGGTCGCACAAAGCACGCATCGAGGCACCCTACGAGGCACACACCGAGGCATCGTACAAGGCATTCACTAGCAGGGTGCTTCAAACGACATTTGCCTTGTGCCTCGTAAAGCGAGTGAGTGCCGCAGGGTGGCGCGTAGAAGCTTCCGTACATATGTCAAGTTCTCTTCCTCCTCAATTATGATTGGCAGATAAGTATTTGGAAACGACGGCAACAATGTATGAATGTCGCACACGGAAATTTTCGAACAACCTATCTCGAACGGTCATTGAGAATAGACTTTCAGAGTCGCATGCGACATTAACCATTCGACATTTTACGCATGCGAGAATTGTCGAATGCTTTCGAGAATACGGCCCCTGAACTCGTTCAAAGTATGAGTTGAACGAGATCAAGTCTCTGCGTACGTTTCACCTTAGATAAATATACTAGATGCGGCGAGGGTCGATGGTGGGGACTACCGATATATATAGCATACTAAATTTTCAGTGTATGTTAGTGCTGCCCTCTTCAACTTTTCGCCGTTTCCAAGGATACCGCTTGGAAATCGCGTTTTTTGAGTCGTGAAAGGCTAGAATTTCATTTCTCGCCAATATCACTACTTTTCTTTTTTGAAAACAACGTGTTTTTCAATAAAAACTAATCAATCAATTTTTTAAAATAAAATTTTTTAAAATAAAGAACTTTTAATTTAAAATAAAAAAACCTAATTATTATTTTTAATTAACTTTCTTATAAATAAAATAAAATATTTTGATTATTAATTGTAATTAATTTCCTTTATAATAAAAAGTTATTAATTATTTTTTTAATTAAAACAAAATTTTTTAATTATTAATTAAATTAATTAATTTA